TCTGTTCTCAGCTGCAGTGCTGGTGTGGAGCGAAGGTGTCAGCACGAGGGTGGCACGTGGAGCCCTTCCCTCACTTTGTGCACTCACTTGTCTCCCACCCAGGTGAGGGAGGACGCACGGCTGCAGCAGTTCTTCAGGGACATGTCCTACAGCTCCTTCAAGAACCTGGCTGATGCCTACGTCCAGAGGGAGCTGACAGCCAGCAGGCCCAACGTCAACCCCCAGGAGATCCAGTTTGCCTACACGGTCCATCTCACCGCCACGGTGGCGGGGATCTGCAGCCAGGCAGTGAACAGGATCATGGGCTTCGGCACCCGCTACCTGGACGATTCCTTTGCACTCTATGGCAAAATTCTCCAGGTGAGGAGCAGGGCGAGCCTGGGGCTGAGCTCCCAGCAGCAAATTTGGGCAAGTGCCCCAGAAAGTGGAGGCTGCTCATGTGTGGGAGTGTTCCAGGACAGGTTGGACAGGGGTGGAGCAACCTGGGGTAATGGAAGGTGTCCCTGCCCGTGGCAGGGGTGGAACTGGATGAGCTTTAAAGGTCCCTTGTAGGCACACAGTTCGTGGTGGCTGGGATGGGGCTGTGGCCAGAACCTCACCCCAATGGGTCCAGCTGTGAGAAGCAGGTGAGCAGCACTGACAGCAATGAGACACGGAGTGCCCAGGTGTGCTGAGCAGTCACACAGGGAACAGAGAGCACACAGGTGCAGTGCATGAACCAGGAGGGTATAAAAGGCTGGGCTGAAGAACAAGAGGAGCAGATGCTTGAAGCCTTCTGATATTGTACGGTGTTACTCTGTGTATTGTGGCTGTCTCAAGTGTGACATATGCTGTGACAGTCCCTTCCAATCCAAAGTATTCCATGATTTTAAGAATGTTTCCTTCTGTCATGGCAGGAGAGAGAAAAGCTCAGGACAGACCACTGTGACAGCCCGGACTGACAGCGGCAGCTGCAAGGGGCCCGTGGTGCCTGGGAACCCAAGGATGAACATTTAGTGGTGGAAGGGCAATCCCTGTTGGTGACCTGGACGTGGGGTGAATTTCTGAGCTGTGGATTTGAAATCTTCTCAGGAGAACCAGCAGTGTGAAATACTTGAACCCCACCTGGCTGGGGACAAAAAGTCAGTAAATCAAACAGAGCCCAAATTTCACCCTGTATTTGTATTTTAGCTCCTGCCAAGTGCTTGTGTTGAACCTCAGGGGTTGTTGCTGTTTGTGCACATGTATTTATTTACCTGCTTTTCTAAATGTATTTGTGAATGTACAACATAATTTTTGTAGTTTCTGCTACCAGCCAAGAATCCAGTTTGGAAAAAAAATCTCAAACTCAAATAAATTGGTGCCTAAATGCCAGCCAGGCTTGTCTGCTGGGAGTTGTGTTATAGGTGGAATAATGTTTGCTTTGCTCCAGCTGCTGTGGGCTGCTCCTTTCCAGCCAAATTCCAAGTGGCACAAGGGACTCTGAGAGCAGATACACAGTGTTGTCCTGCCATTTTTACAATTTACAGGCCTCCCCATTCCAGCAGAAGATTTACTACCCAGAGCAGCTTGTTCTGACACCAAGAACTGGGTAAAGCTCATTCCCAAGCGGTGCAGGAGCTGTAACATCCTCAAGGACTGAGGGGATTTACAGCTGCCAGGGTCTCACCTATGAGCTCTAAGAAGATGTGAAATGTCAAAGCGATTTAAGCCCTAATCACTGGGAATGTTTCCAGCTAATCTTTGCCCAGACCCCTAAGCAGGGCCATGGATTAAGACAGCTCTGGGCTGGGTAGGGGGGGGTGGCAGGGCTCAGTGTGGTTGCACCAGCAGGAGCATCTCCTCTGCAAGGTTGGACCTGGCCTGGGGTGAAGGAGATGAAGTTTTGGAGTTTGCATTGTGCAGGAGGGATGCTCTAGTGGGTTGAAGGTGATGATGGTGGCAAACAAACGTGTGGGTGTGTGTCACTGCCACATTTTGGGTGGCAATCCCCCATGGGCCACTGGTGACAGTCCAGGTCTGCCCAGCACCTCCTCTCCTTGAAGATCTGACCTTCTTGGACCTTGTAAACCCCAAAGTAAATGAAAATGGGGAAGCAGAGCCCTCACAGGACAGAAGCAGCTCTTCCCCACCCAGATCCACTTTCCCAGAGGCTTCAGGGCTGTGTTTGACAGACACAGGATTGATCACCAGCTGCTGAGGGAGGGGGGACACCTTGCAGGGCTCCATCTAATTCAGCCCGGGGTAATTAGAGTGTGGAAAACATTAAATCCCACTCCTGGGTCCTGCCAACAGGATCAGCACCGTGATTCCTTCTGGCTGGGAACCAACCCAAGAGATTTTACTGTGGGAGAGACTGGAACTGCCCTCGTTTGTTTGCAACAGTGCAAACATTCACATTCCCTGCCAGACCCTGGGGCTGAGCTGGGACCAGGGCTGGGCGAGCTGGTGCTGGGGATGTGGTCAGAGGGTCACAGGATGCCCCAATCCGTTTTGCATCTGAGCTCATGTGGGGCCAGGGATTGGGCTGGGATTTGCATGGAGCAGAAAAGGGCTCTGTCTCTTCACGGACTTCCCAGTGGAAAGTCAAATATCCTCTTGTGCCAGAAGATATCATCCTCCATCATCATGTGAGATGCACCTGCCAGGTAAAACATCAGAGAGGAAAACTTCCCATTCCCTGTGCTATTCCCAAAACCACAGCTGAACCAAACACTCTCCTCTGCTCACTGGACCTTTTCCCACCCATCAGGGCAGTTGTGCTGGGGGAACAAGGAGCCAAACCTGTCCAGCCCCTTGCACAAGAGGCTCCTGCTCCCAAAAATCCCAACGCAGTGTGCAGGGATGCTGCTCCAGCTGGGCATGGTGGGATGAGGGGAGCAGCCACAGCTGCCTTAGTGCTGCACCCCAGGGCTGACAGCTTTTGGAGCCCAGGTCCCTTCCCGTGAGCAATTCCAGCTCCTTGGATTAATCTTCTGATTATAAAATTGGGACCTGGTTGCCTGTGACCACTGAAGACATTAAGAAGGTTTTAAAGAAGGGCAAGTTATTAGTCCTGGGGGTTTGAGCCGTTTCCAGCTCTCGGCATTACCCTCATCCTTCCCTGAACACCCCGTTGTGGCTTCCCTCAGCGGAGACAATCGCCTCGCACGAAAATCCCCGGGTCAGGGACAGCGGCCATCTGGGCAGCCAGATGATCCTGCTGGGGCAGGACACAGCCCTGCACGGCCCCCAGCCCCCAGGGCTCGTGTGAGCCGGGGGCTTCCACCCCAGACCCTCCAGGCTGCCGTGGGGACCCTGCGTCCCAAAGCCGTCAGTCCCCTCTGATCCTGCTTTGGAGTGCTGGGGGAGGGCAGCTTAGGAAATCAGCTCGGCACCTAATGAGCCAATTAATGCAAAATTTGCTGTCGCTAAGAGGATGATGACAAGGTTTCATCTCACGGGAGCAGGAACTGAGCCAGGCAGGATGATGCCTCCTGGATGCTGTCCCGGGCCGTGGTGTTGGCAGCTGGGGAGGGTGCAGGGGAGATTTGGCACCTTGGCCCTCCTGGAGAAGCCCCCATTACTGAGTGCAGGACAGAGCTGTGTGTGGACAGAGGAGCGTGTTCCTACAGCTCCCATGGGATCATTTATACTTTTCCCAAACCTTGGCAGTCAGGGCTGGGCACAGCTGAGGAGGTGCAAGGGCTGAGTGGAGCAGGAGCATCCCACACCTCTTTATGAAGAGCCTGTTGGACGCCCTGGGGGCCTGAGGCAAACAATAGGAACAGTTAATGCACAGAGAATGTGGGAACAACTCATTCCAGCATACAAACCCTCTGCACTTCCAGTGTCCTGATGTGTCTGGACCAGTCACAGCAGCAGGAGATAGTTTCATCCTTCATGAACTTGCCAGTGCTGGAAGAAAATCCTTTAAATGAAGGGATTTGTTTTCCTAAGGGCTGGAGGAGCCAGTGGCATGAATGATGCAGATCAGAGCTTTAATATCTCCAGGAGGCTGGTGGAGAGGCTGGGTGTGTGGGAGACTCACCCAGCAGGGGGCTCGTGAGAAACCTCAGACACTGGAAAGAAAAGAAATTAGGGGCTCCAGTAAGGCTGTGGATCTAGAAGCCCTAAATCAGGCAGTTGTTCAGCTCCAGGGTAATCCCATTCTTTATTAGATATACCTTGGAGCTGGCAACCTCCTTCTGTGTGTCCTGACATCCAGGGAGCACCAGACACCAGTCCTGGCAGTGCTGTGACATTTACCTGGGGGATTCCAGGCAATGTCCCCCTGCTGCTCCTGGTGACATTTCAACCCAGGGACATTTTGCATGTCAGTGTGGGGGACTCTGCTCCAATTCCTGTCCTGAGGACCCAGTCATGGCTGGAGAAGACAGGGAAAAATGTATGAAAATTTGGGGTGAAACAGGACTGCAAAGGTGGTATCAGGATGCTGGGACCATGCCATGGTTCCCTGTACTGTGTACAGACACAGGGAAGGAGAGCCTTGTTCCTTACCCACATGCCCACGTTGTGTTGTGTACACAGCCCTAATTCTAACCCATGGAATGTTTCCTCTCAGTGTGCAGCTCTGTGGATTTGGACAACAGAAATGACACAATATTTACCAGTGCTTAATAAATACATCTGTTTAAATGGCAATTTTTGCTCTGTATGTTGGCAGCAGCATTGGATCATTAAGGCTGAAAAGACAAGAAATCTGTGGCATTTCTCCCTGGTTTTATAATTATCCCCCAGGCTATGAAGACAGTTCAAAGGCAGTTTGATTCCAGTTCAATAACCACAGGTTTGGGTCATCTGGTGCTGCTGTAGGGCCTTGGTGAGAGGGGAGAGAAAACCAGGTCTTTGGTTTTTGACTGATGCAAACAATATCCAAGGGTCAGGCAAGGGCAAAACCCTTCCAACAGGCAGCAAATATAAAGAATATTTCCAAACCTAACCCAGTGTAGCTGCATTCACCCCTTGTGTAATGCTCTCTGGCTTTAAATGTCTTATACAAGCCTTTACTCACTCAGTACTGAGCTGTGCCTAAGCTGGGATTGATGGAGAATCCAATTTAGGAAAACACCCTTTGATGAAGAAAGCGTGAAGCAAAGAGGAATTTTTGCACGGACGTTTCCAAGTGTGACAGGCACAATAACACCAGGACCCTCTCTGGGAGGGCTCCTGAGGCACTGCAGACCTGTTGGCATGAGAGGAGAGCCCTGATTGAGCCCTGAGCATCCGAGCTGGCTGTGGTTGAGGATTATAAGAGCTGTTTTGATCAGGGGAAAACTTCCATTTTTAGCACAGGCAGCAATTAAAATAGCTCGCGAATCTCAACGCCTCGGGGAGCTGTCATAAAAGGAGGCAGAAAATCCGTCTTCTGGACTCCTCTGCAGCTAGAGATGAGCCTGGAGGCAGCAGAGGAGAAGAGAGGCTGAGTTTCACCTGGTGAAAAAGGACAACCCCAAGACCTTGAGCCAGATCCGCTGCTGTGATCTCAAGATGGCTGTGGAGGATCTCCGGGCTTCCAGCACCCCTTTCTCGCTCTCCTTTTCGGGCAGTGGCTTCCTGGCGCTGTACCAGGTTGGGGTGGTGCAGTCCCTGCTGGAGTTGGCTCCTGAGCTCCTCAAGTCTGCCTGCAAGGTCTACGGCTCCTCAGCCGGGTCGCTCATCGCTGCCGCCGTCGTGTGCGGCGTCGGCCTCGGTAAGAAAACCCCAGCCTCGAGTCCCTCCGGGAGCTTTGTGTTCCATAAACCCAGGGAGGGGTGATGCCCCGGGGTGCTGGGGGGAGGTGGGGCTGGTGGAACTCTCCTCGCTCACCAGGCATTACAGAAACCCAAGGAGCTGCCACCCTTGGCAGCCAGTGCAGCGCAGTTTTGGGAGGTGTAAGCTGAAAAGGCCAGTTCTGACAGCCCGAGTGTTCCCTGGCTCAGTGGGCAGAAATTAGGGGGAAATCTGCATGTACTGGTCATTCCATATTCCATATTCCACTGTCTCCTTTTCCTGCTTCTGCTGGAGGAGCAGATCTCCTCCCCTTCTGCTCTCAGGTCTGAAGGGTGCTGAGGTGTGTCCCAAAGCCAGTCTGTGCAGCCTCAGGGGCTGGATTTACCCATGTAGAGCCCTCTTTTCCCTATGGATCACGTTTCTCGGGGTGTGAAGCTATGAAGGGACACAAGTGGCTGTCACACAGCTATCTATAGAGCTGACAGCTTGTTTGCATGCCACTTTGGCTGATCCCACTCAGCCTTCCCAGAACAAGGTAAGATGTTGTGTGATTCCCAACTCCAGGTGCACCTTCCCCTGCTCCAGCAGGATATTCCTGGAGGAACAGCAGTCTGCTCCAACCTGGGGCTGGGATTCCTCTGACCCTCTTTCAACCATGTGGAAACAAGTCCCTCTAGCAACAAGATCCTCCGTGTGTAGAATTAATTCAGGGTAGTTAATCCACTTTTAATCATCACATCCTCCCATATTTCCAATTAGTGCCCATGTGTAAACAAGTGTACTCAAGACTTAAGGCTCTAAAGCCTGATCCAAGTTCTGCTTCAAGTAATGGGGACATTTAGGAGGAGCAGAAGGTTTTGGGGACCAAATAATGATGGAGAAAGCTGGAGGGAACATAACGGTTCCTTAAACTTCTGGTGGATGCTGGATCTGCTCTTCTGCAGTTAAAAATAATTCAAAACATTAGCAAATATGTTTAGACAAGGCAGAAAGGAACATTTCTGCCCACATGGGGATGAATGCCTCCATAAATAAGCAAGGGCCCCAAAATTTCTGATTCCTCCTGCTGCTCTAATGGATGCTAGGGCTGTCCAGCAGTAAAAATACATTCAGCAACTGCTCTTGCTGGGGGCACCAGTCCTGAACTGGGCATCTGCTTCCCTGGAGGTGGAAGGCACCATCCATTTAGAGGGGCTGAGATGATCTTTTGCCCAAAATATCTTCCCCAGAGGAAGAAAAGACACTTTGGATAGTGATGACTCTGGTTGGGTTTCCAACAAGGAAAATGAATGTGGCACAAGCTCGGTCATATTCATACTGGGGATGATAGGGTCACAAGGAAGGTGAAAGGTGTGTTTGGTGTCCCACGGGGTGGCTGCAGTCAGGTGCCCGTCCCCTGCCCTGGGCTGGCTGAGGAGCTCTGAGCTCCCAGAGCCAGGCTGTCCTCTGTGACCCCACCAGTCACCTCGTGGGGACATCCCTGTCACCAGGCTGGTGCAGGCAGGAACAGTCACATTGCTGCCAGGCTCGTCCTTCTCTCACTCCGCAAAGCTGGGCTCGGCTCTCACATCTTACTCGGCAGCTTGTGGGCAGTTTTTCCATGTTTTCCCCTATTCCCAGGACCCAGAGCAGCCAGACAGGGACCTGGGCGTGCCCCACCCCGCTGGAGGTCCGGCTCTTTCAGCATCCCCTCCGTGCAAACCTGCCCAGCATTAATCGTTGCCCCGTGTGGCCTCAGCATCTGCTCGAACACACATAACCCCTCTTAATGCCTGTGTTGCTCCAGTTGCCTTCAGGACACGCCACCTAATCCGTCTGTCCGTCCACACAATCCCATGAGACTGCACAGAAACCTGTGCCCCTGCAAAGCCTTGGTGCTGAGCCAGGCCCGTGGCCTGGTGCTGGTGCAGGGTCCCAGGCGCAAGGACAACTCTTTGAAGCTTCGTGCTGGACAAGCTTTCACTGCAAGGGTTTAACCCCAGGTGGGATATTTCCCCAGGTGAGGTCTCCATGTCAGCAAAGGCACCAAATTCCCGCTATGAGATCAGGCTGCCTGCAGGGTTTTCTTCACTCCTCTTCCTCCCCATCACAGTGAAACCTTTAAAACCTGGAGTATCCTGAGTCCTTGGCCAGGGCTCCAGGGCTCTGCTCCTTTAACCCAGCTCCTGGGATCTGCAGACACCTGCCATGGCTATTAACACCGCCTCAGAGGTCTGAGGTCGCAGGGGGGAGCTCAGGAATCTCAGCAATGTGGAGCCAGGACTCCCGGCTTGCAGGAAAGCCCTGAATAGAAGAGGTGCCTCTCGTCCCCTCATCCTCACCCGGGAGCCAGCCCAGCTCCCTGTAAAGCCTGGGGCTGCCCACGTGGAAAACCGGAGGTGGAAGGCAGGAACGTGTTGTGCAAGTCACATTGTCATGGACAACTCAGTGTCCCCCTTCCTGGGGCTCTCTGGAGCCTTTCCCTAATCCCGACTGGGAACATCTTGAGGGCCCATCTCTGGTGCAGGTGGGGATTTCACCAGTGGGGTCACACAAAGACATGATGTCCTTTGAGGACATTATGGGGGTCATGCCCCCCTTTCTGCCCTGCCTCAACATCCCCCACTGTAGCAGCAATATCATCCTGGGGTAACACAGAGGGGCTGCAAGAAGCTTTATTTATGAGGAGTGTTAAAAATAGGATTTAAAATATAACTGTTATATGCATATATATAAATATATGCAGCAGGCATATTGACTTTCTCGCCATCTTTCCCTCGCTTCTTTCAGATGACCTCAAGGAGTTTTTCTTTGCACTGGCAACAGAAGTCAGGAAAACCATCCTGGGCCCCCTCTCTCCCAAGTGCAGCTTGCTGGCCAATCTCAAGGCTGTCCTGCAGCGGATGCTGCCGGAGGATTCCTACCTGCTGGCCTCGGGGCGGCTGCACATCTCGCTGACGCGGGTGGTGGACGGCCAGAACGTCATGGCCTCGGAGTTCAGCTCCAAGGAGGAGCTCATTCAGGTACAGAGACCTTCCTCTGGCGCCTGAGGAAGGGCTCCACTGGCTGCCTGGGATGGACATACTGCAAGTGTTGGTGGCTTTAGCTGCCCCTTTTCTGCCCAAGATGGGGACAGAGTCAAGAGGCTCTGCCAGAGCTGTGGTCCTACACCAATGGGCTCCATGAGCTTGGCGGCAGGGAGGGAGGTCTGAGTTCCAGGATCAGATGGAACAAATCATGCTAGAAAAAGCAGCAGGTTTGTTTCCAGCTTCATACAGCTGATGTTGGGGCTCTAATAGCGACTTTTTCAAAGAGCCCTGTCAGTGCTGATGTGACCTCTCAGCTGCCCCTACAGGTCTTTCCTCAACCATCTGGCAATGGTTTTCCTTGTTGCCTCAGCACTTTCCTGGGAGGAAAGAGCTGGACAAAGCTGCTGCTGAACAACAAGCAACTCATTAACCAGTAAATTATCTGCTGGGGGGAGAATCCCAGGTTAAAATCCTAACAGAGTTGACTGTGAAGTCCTGGGTCCCTTGTCCCAGGGAGACAGTGAGGATGGCAACTCCATGGAGGTATTGGAGTTCACCCCATGGTGCCTCCTCTAGGTAGCCCAGGAGCCCAGGGTGTTTATTCCCAGCTGATGAGATTGGTGGGAAATGGTTGCAAATTACTGACAAATCCCAGCAGGGTGAGGTTGCCTTGTGAGGCTGTCTTGATTTTGTCCAAAATCCTGCAAAGATGGAAATTAGCCCCAAAGCTTCAGCTTGCCACCATCAAAGGTTGGACACGGACATGTAGATTGACAACTATTAATTCTGTCAGCTATAAAATTAAAAAATGCAGTGTTGTGCCCTCCTCCAGAGAAGTGTTTCCACTTCAATGAAATCAGATGTTTTCTCTTTCTTCAAGCCTTTCTTGCCACAGTCTCTAGCAAAGTCCAGGTGGCACCAACAGCCTGGTTCCAGACTTTGTCAAGGCTGAATTTTCAGGTACCAAGTCAGCAGCTTTGACAGAAACATTGACTTCTGCAATCCCTCTTCTCCCCAGGCTCTCCTCTGCAGCTGCTTTCTTCCAATTTACTGTGGATTCATCCCTCCATCCTACCGAGGAGTGGTGAGTGATATTTCCACTAAAACACACGCTCCCAGCAGGGGGTTCTTGGTTTGAACTTTACATTCCTCTGTAAAGGAGGAATGTACAGACCAGGGAGGGATAGGTGTTTCCAGGCTTTTCCTTTAGTTGATGGAAGATGATAAAGCCCATCAGCTTATTCTTCACCACATCCTAAGATGACAGCCAGGTGGAATTGCCATCTGGAGAGTCTTCTCCTGCTTTGCCCATGGACAGAGTGTGGATGACCTTGCAGATCTCTGAGTGAGATAAGAGGATGCCCACGGTGTGGACCTTGAGCACAATCCAGTTATCCTGGGCAGGTTCATCCCTCAGGTGCTGACTTGCACAGCTGAGACATGGAGAGTTCGTGGGAGGATCCTCCTCCAGCCCTGAGCATTTCCATGCTCTGCTTGTCTGAGGGAGGGGAAGGAGGAGCTTGTCAGTGTTTTCCACTGGCAGTGTTTTCTGGGCAATCTGTGCAGGGTCTCACCATCCTCACAGGGAAGGATTTCTTCTTGGTATTCCATCTAACCCTAATGGCAGTGGGAAGCCATTGCCCCTTGTCCTGTCACTTCATCCCTTCAACTCTCTATCACTCCATCTTCAACTCTCTTGGAGCCCCTTCAGGGTCTCCAGGGTCCCTGGAAATGTTCAAGGCCAGGTTGGACGTGGCTTGAACCAACCTTGGATAGTGGAATGTTTCTCTGCCCATGGCAGGGGGTAGAATGCGATGAGCTTTAAGATCCCTTCCAACCCAACCCATCCCCAGGTGAGTGATTGCTCTGTGAGGCCTCTCTGCACTGTAATTTCAGCAACATTTAATTCCATCAGCTGCAACTTCCAATCCCATTGAGGTGGGTGGTAAATCCAGATTTCTTTTGGAATAGAGCAATTGACATTTTCCCTGCCCAGTGAGTAATCCCCCCTGAATCTGCAGGCAATTATTAAACGTGGGGGTCCTTACTGCTCAAGATCAGGACTTGAAAGTTACACAACACTGTGCATTCGGCGATGTCTGAATTGTCTCTTGACTGCCAAAAATTGTTGTACAAAGCTCTGTGAATGAAAGAATTATATTTCCAATTTAACAGCTGCTGTGGATTACAGACCAGGTTGAGGAGCTGGCTGGGTGCCAGAGGCAGGGCAGGGGAAGGAGCTGGTGAAGGAATAAAGAGCAGAGGTGGGACAAGACGCTGTTGGGAGTGGGGATGGGCTCATGACAGGAATGTCATCTGTGCAGCTGCTGGCTCCCAGCTCAGTGACACTGCAAAGGCCCCCAAAGCAAACCCTTGCTCTGCTCCTCCCCCAGCGCTACGTGGACGGAGGCTTCACGGGCCTGCAGCCCGTGTCCAGCCTGGAGGAGCCAGTGATCACCGTGTCCCCATTCACCGGCGAGCTGGACATCTGCCCCCGCGACTGCCCTGCCATCTTCTTCTGCTTCCAGATCTTCAACGGCAGCATCCAGATCTCCATAGAGAACCTGTGCAGGATCAGCTACGCTCTCTTTCCACCCAGTACCATGGTGAGCCCACCAGGACTTCTCCCAGCTTAGCTTTGGTGAAAAGATTAATGCTGCTCCTGCCTTCTCAAGATTTAAGGTTCAGCTCAATCTCCACTGTTAATTAATGGGATTTCAAAGGGAGGGGGCAGCACTCACTATTTTTGCAGGACATTTTGGGGAAGGGACACTGCTGATGGGTGGCCAGCTTGGGATGTGGTCCACAACCTGCAAAGGACCAGAAAAAACAGGTGATCTCTAAGGTCCCTTCCAACCCAAACCATTCTGTGTTTCTCTGACTGGTGCTGTGGTGGCTGGAAACCAACCAATGCTTGCTGCCTTCCCAAATGGGCCATCCCAACCTTCCACAGCCAAACAGCTTTGGATAGATCCTCTAGTACTGGGGTCAGGGCTCTCTAATGACCTCGAGTGTTTCTCCTTGCAGGTCTTGAATGACATTTTCTCCCAGGGATACCAGGACACTGCCCTTTTCCTGTACAGGAACAGTAAGTGACACCCCAGTGCCTGAGGGACACCTCAGTGCAACACAGACAAACATCATCCCTTTCTCTCTGTGTCTCCCAGATGCCTTTGGCTTTAACTACTTCGATGGCAATTTCCGCTTTGGCAGCACCTGTGGGAAGAATGACTCTGGAAAATCCAATGGGACACACCCCGGCCTGTACAAAAGGGTCCCTCAGTGCCTGACCCCTTACTTCCTGCCAGGTAGAGGATTTGGGGTGCTCAGCTTGGGTTTAGGGCTGCTGCAGCCTTCAAGAGCAGCAGTGTTATATTTAAGACATTACTGAGTCGTTATTAGAGTAAATATTTCTATTGCAAAAAGACTTTGTAAGAGTGGCTCCAGCTGGACTCTGGCCTGGGCTTCAGTACCTATCTGAGCTGGGCAAGAGGAGCTATTGAATTTATTTCATTATTTGTAATTACTGGTCTTTATTTCCTTCTTTGCTGTCATTCCTGGGTGCAGGTTTGTGGAAGAAGGAGCAGGTGAATGGATTACAGGACCCACTTGCAAAGGTCCTGCTGCAGCCATACAGGCTCCCAGCCTTATTCAGGAAGGGGTAAGGACATCCCAACAGAGGCATTAAGGAATGACACATAAACCAGGGGCTGTGCCTTTGGCAGTGGTGGGGCAGCTGAAGGGACACACAGAGGGATTCGGTGTTCCCTGAAGGCAAGATCCAAGGGAAAGCAGGTATGGCTGGTGGGAATGCCACAGCACCTCTTGGTTATGGAAAAGGTTATTACAGTGTGCATTTACCATGAACATCCCCCCCTTTTGCTGCCTTCAGCTATCATTAAACTCAGCCTGTGTACTTTGCTTTTGCAGGGTGAATAAAGTGTGGGGGCTGCTGGAAGGTGTCAGGTCCCTGGTACAACGACTCCACAAGCTCCTCCAAACCTTGGTGCCTGGTTTGCCTAAGACAGCCGTGGACAGGAGGAGGTGAGGGGCTGGAGGGCTGCAGACCCCCAGCATAAAGAGAGAAGGGTGCAGAGCTGGGAGACTTTGGGAACCTCACCCACTGGGTCACTGATGCTGAGTGTGGCTAAAAACTCCAAATCTGGAGAAACCCACATTAAAAGTAGCTATTGTTTTATCCCTGTGATATTATTTTGATATCTCAAGCTACAGCCCAGCTTAGTGCCACCTCCCTAGTGCAATACATTTGTGTTCCAGATATTTATTTGCTGGGCTCTGTCCTGGCAGGACACCAGGCACATTCACCAACACCTTGAAAGATTTCTGGCACTAAGCTCTCAGGGATAGGCATATCCCCCTAAAATCTGCTTGCAAGTTCCCTCCTGTGCAGCTGCCCAAGAGACTCAGATTGACTTCACCCTGTGGCAGCTGCAACCTCCTCAGCTGTGAGAAAGTCCTTTGGAGTCAAACATTCTGGGGCTGCTCATCCCTGTCAGTACTTCGACCCTGCCTTAGCTCTCACTTTGTTCCCACAGGTAGCAAGGTAACAAGGATTGTCCCAGCGGGGCCCTGGGGGTCTCCAGCGCTGCCTCGGAATGTGGTGGGCAGCACCAGCACACACCAGCATGGCTGCTGGTTCTCGAGGGAATATTTGGGGAGTATTTTTTTCTTCAGAACCTGTCTGGTTCTGTCTGCAGTGCTGCCATTGCAGTGCCCCTGCTCAGGCCTCACCTGCTTTTCCATCATGGCTGAGGCAAAGCTCTGGTGCTGCTCCTGGGACCCATCCCCGGCTGCAGGGGCCACGGGGCAGCTTTACCTGCAGACCCCATAGCCCAATCCTTTCCCTGCCCACTCCATCTCCTCCCCACCAGCAGCATCCCTTCCCTGCTTTAATGCAGATTACAGGGTGGGCAGTTGCCAGGAAATGCCAAGTTTTAAGTGTTTTCTTCCCACTCAAAAACTTCAAGAGACATACCTCAGAGAGAGAGAGAGAAGCCTTAGGGAGCATCATACTGGGCAGGAACTAATTTTTCTACAGTTCCCTGAAGTTTTTTTACCAAGTATCAATTCTTGAGCTTCACACCTGCCCATAGCCCTCCTTCTGCTGCCTGTGGATATGGGAATGTATTTGGATCCCCTGGAACTTGCAGAAGTGCAGAAGGATGGAGTAACCTAAAAATTAACTTCCCCCTACTACGGAGTCCCGCAGGCTAAATCTCTGACATTTCACAAATATACGAGTTCTTCTCCTGCAATTGTCTGTAACTCATGGTCACACAGAGAATGGCCCAGGCAAACACACCCTGTGTCACTGGGCTGCACACAGAATTAATTAGCAGCACTGTTAATTCTCCCAAAACCGTGCTGCATATCCGAGGCTGTGGATTGTCTTTGCCCCAATCTGTGTCTCCCTGGTTTGTTGGTTCCCAACAGGCAACAAATGGATCCCAACAGCAGAAGCTGTTTATTAGAGCACACAGCCTGTTTAATTGCAAAAGGGAAATGGAACAGAGGGAAGTTTCATACAAAGGGTTGTGGAGACTGCAGGAATGAATGTGGGGAGTAGCTGAAGGCAGCCCTGATGTAACCAGACTCAAAGTTAACTAGGAGTGCTGTGTGAAAGAACAATAACCTGTGTTCTGCCATCTTTGGTTGAAATCAGTGACCTGGGAATACATTCTGTGGAATGAGTTTGATAAAGAAACCTGGATGCTTATTTCATAGAATCATGAAATGGTTTGGGTTAAAAGGGACCTTAAAGATCACCCAATTGCAACCCCTGCTATGGGCAGGGACATCATCACTATCCCAGGCTGCTCCAAGTGCCATCCAGCCTGGTCTTGGACACTTCCAGGGATCCAGGGGCAGCCACAGCTGCTCTGGGCACTCTGTGACAGAGCCTCTGCACCCTCACAGAGAGAAGGAAAAATTCCTTCCCAATATCCCATCTAACACTGCCCTCTGGCAGTGGATAGCCAGCGACCCTTGTCCTGTGCTGGCAGTTCCCGATGAGGGGTCCCTCTCCAGCTTCCCTGTAGCCCCTTCAGCTCCTTGAAAGGGCCGTGAGGTGTCCACACAACCTTCTCTTCTCCTGGCTGAACAGCCCCAACTCGCTCAGCCTGTCTCCATAGGGGAAGTGCTGCAGTCCCCTTATGACGTTCTGGCCCATTCTGATGGATCCCGTTTGCATTGGATCCTGTCTGCTCCTGTCTTGCATCCAGTCTGGATGGATTTGCACTTCTCAAGCACTGCAGCCAAAGGCAGCTGCTCCAGTCCAGCCACAGGGCAAAGTGGAAGGCTCAGAGACACCCAGGCCTCCCCAGGCAGGAACAATCAGTCCATCATTTGCTTTTGCACCTCTGCTCCCTCCCACTTATCCAACAGCTCCTTGTCCAGGCTGCTGCAAGCACCATCCCTACGTCCAGGCAGGATATTACCATTCAGTCAGCCTGAGGCAGCTACCCTATTGAAATGAGCATTAAAATCTGCCAGAGAAACTTCTCATCTAGGAATTGGACTTCCAAATCCATTAGATGCATCTGCAAACCTTAGACACAAACAGGAGCACAGTTTGAAATGTTCCGGGGTATCTCCCCTGCCCCATCTGGTGCTTGATCATAAGCAATTAGCAAAACATTGTGAACTTTATGAAAAATCCATCTACAAGTAATCCCCAAAGTGAAATGGTCTCAGCACAGAATCCTCCTGCTCCAAACCTGCAGGAATTAGGAGGAAATAAGAATTTAACAATTTAATATTCCAGTCAGCTGGGTTTTGCTTTATTAATCCCTCATCTTTTCAAGCAAGCAGAGCTGGTGCTGTCTCCTCTTGGAGACACGAGCTTGGAGCTAATGGCAATGGAGACTTTGAGAGAGGCAATGGATAGAGGCAAAGTTTGGCATTGATTGGAATCATCTTGTGCAGGAGCTTGTTTCACTGCAAGGAAGCAAAGTGGGAAGCCCAGCTGCACCCAGTGGGGATAGAACCAGCCTGGAATGCCTCCTCTAGGGGTGGATGATGGGAATCATCCCGGGCTGTGGCCCTGCCTGTGCTGTGGCATTGCTGGCAGAGCCCATGTGCTCCTCAGGGCAGGTCAGGCTCAGCCTTCAGGCTGGGTTCCAAGTTGCTCATTGGTTTTTAAAGCAGAAGCTGGGGCCAAAGGCAGCAGCAGGCTCAGAAATGCACTTCTGTGGCTGACCTGGTCCTAAAGGGAATAAAAGCACGTTGGTCAGTCTGACAGACACCTCTGGCAGTTCCTGTGGGACAAAGTGGATGCTGTGGGACAAAGTGCCTGTTGAGAGCTGCTTCCCTTCCTCCCGATGTCTGAAGGGCAGCCGGTTTTGGTATCCTCAAAGTATTGCCCTTGTACCCCTGTCCTGTTGCTTGTCTCCTTCTGCTTGGAACTCAGCAGGAATGTGAAGCCTGAGATGGATGGGATGAGAGTCTGGAGACAAGGCAAGGCAGCAGAGCTCCCTCTGGAGCTGGAGCCCGCTGCAGCTCTAGAGGGAAGAGTCCTTGGGTCTGATCCATGAAACTGAGCCCAACAAAGCCAAGCACGTGCCCAGTCCTGCCTGTGGCTCTGGCTCTTGGCTGCAGGTGCTTTATGCCAGACTCGCTTTCCAGTCTGGGCACTAAGGAGGTGCAATTCCTTGTGCAGTTGTCCTGCTGGACACACAGAGAAGTGCTACTGGATAACCTGCTAGTGCAGCCTGAGCCTCATGGGATTGCAGGCTGCAGACACTTGTCCAAGAAATCAAGTACAAGTTGTTCACAAGTTTATCCCCCTGCTGCTCTGGTAGCATCACTGCTGTTCTGGCATTGCGCAGAGAAACAGTGAAAGAGCCTATTCCTGACCTTGATCAGTAGGGCTTTTCCTTCCCAGAACTGGAAAATGTGATGTGCTTCTGCTGTGGAAGTGGAGCCTGGACTCACTCCTTGATTGCTCTCTGGCCTAACAAATGAGTCTTGATTCCTCCCACAAGAGGAATTTTTCACCTCAGGCTGGTTAAAAACCTTGCAGCCCAGCTGCAAAGCAGAGGCAGCAATTCCTGACAGCCCAGAGCTGCCCAACTTCCAAAGAAACCTCATTCCCAGCCTGTTGCTTCCAAAAGCTCCACATAGGTCAGACTGATGGTGCCTTTACAAAAGCAACCAGGGAAGCAACTTCTACAGCCTAACACTGTGTCCTGCATTGCTTAGTGGGTCGAGAGTTGGCTTGTTTTCAAAGGAAATATCTTTCTTGATTCCACTTTATGTTTTCCAAACTCTCATTTTTAGATCTTAAATGGTAATGGTCCTAGTCTTTCCCATTTATATTCCTTATTTCTTCTAGCCCTTCAAGATATATTTGATTGTAACTTTTTTCATTTTTCATCTAATTTATGTGGCTGCATTTTAAATAATCACCATGTTGAAAAAGCAGAGTGATTTCTAGTAATCTGATGAATTCTGAATTGTTGAAAGACTCAGAAGGAAAGAGAAAATAAAGAGTAAAATGGAAATAAATATTACATTTCATCAGATGATTCTTGATATTTTTTAACAAACAACAAGCTGGAAACAGAAATTCTGTGGATTGACTGGTTTTCCATGCAAAACTAAGATGGGAGCAGGCATTATTTTGCATAGGATTGCAGAAAACAATAAATTTAGGATTTTATCCTGCCTTGTGTTCCTTGAAAATGACACAGCTAGAAGTTTACCTGCAGCTGTAATATGCTTTCCTTGCACTTTGTGTTTGTGTGGCTGCAGCCAGAGTTCCTAAGGAGAAGTTTGGATTTGGCTGGCACAGCAAAGGCAGCCTGAACCCTTGAGACACCCCTAAAGAAGGGATGTGTGGGCAGAACCTGTTCTTACCTCACTGGGTGAGTGAATACATGGCCTTCCCCATGGAAGGAGCTCCTTCTCCATGGAGCCCTTCTGACCCAGCCACCAATGAAGTCCTCAGTGTTCACCCAAATCCAGGGTGAGGGCTCAGTGTGAGGCCTCACTTGTAACCCCTGAGGTGAGAGGGAAGTTTCTCCCATCCCTGCCCATTCTCACTGGCCCCAGAGCCTCTTTGGGCACTGACAGCCCTGTGCAAGTGTCACTTGAAAATGGATGGGGTAAAGGAAGAGCTGGTTCTTTACCTGCCTGGGGTGGAGAAGGTGGTGTGGGGCTTCCTATTCTTCTTTATCTGCTGCCTGGATGATTCCTGGATTCTCTTTGTTGTCATCCTCATGATCTGTGGCTCTGGAGTGAAAAAGCCTCAGTCGTGGCTTCAGGTGCAGGGTCTCGTCACCTTTCTGATTTGGTTCATTGGCCAAGGAAAGTGTGAAGCCCTCAAAGTAATTCACCTGGAAATCCCCTGGTGGGAAGAGATTCCAGCTCTCAGTGCTTGTTGCTCAACTGCCAGATCTGCAGCAGTGTGAGGCGAGACCTGGGCTGAGTGGAAATCAGGGATACTGATGATCCCGGGGCTTGGGAATCACCAAACATTGCTGCTCTGCGCATCAGGAGCTTATCAAACACCACACAGGGCACGTGAGCCTGCGCTTGTGTCTAGAGGTCCTGGGACCTGTGTTCCCTGGGGAAAGCTCTGTCATGCCCAGTGTGGCAGAGAAAAGGGGAGTGTGGCTCCGGAGGCAGCTTCAGGAGAGGCCAGGAATCAAGGAATCCTGGCCGTGCCAGGAATACAGGCATTTCTCTGCCCCAGTCACTCTGGGGCAGCATCTCTTACCTTGTGTCAGCCAACCAAGGATGTAGGGGAAGCACCCAACCTACCTGTCCACACTTCCAGTCACTTACTCAGTCTTTTTAGGAAGGAGACTGTGTCCTGGTAGCCCTGGGCATTAAAGCGGTCCATGACCTGTGAGGGGAGGCAGCAGTCAGTGCAGCTGGGCTGCTGCAGGGGGCTCAGGGCTCTGGCTGCCTGGAGGAGCTGCTCACCTGATGTGTGGGAATCTGTAAAACGTGTTGTAAGCGGCAGATGTTCATTTTTGAGATCTGTAAGATACAGTCAGAGATCTGGAAGGTCAAGAAGGCAGCGGGGCCATCCTTGGGGCAGATGTCGTATTCGCCAGCGAAGGCAGAGATGGTGATGGTGGTGCGGGACACGAAGTCGGCTCTCCACATGGCCAGCTCCCCGTCCACGTAGCGCTGGGAGACAGAACAGGGAGCCCTGAGCCTTCCCCTCGCAGGGAGAGCAGTGCTGTTCACATGGGCAAACGTGGGCCTTGTTCCCTGGCCAGGCCCACAGCAGACCAAGGTTCTGGGGTTCCACAGATCCCCTTCCAGGGAACTGCCCACCTGCTGCTGCTGTGCTCCAGGTCCACACCTGCCCTACTCCCTTCCCTCCAGAAATCTGCAATGAACCTGGGAGGAAAGTACAGCAGAACAGAGGTGGGGCAACCCCAGGGGCAGGAGTAGATGGACAATCCTGTGGGAAGCTCAGTCCTGTCTGCAGTGAGGTCAGATTTTGGGGCCCTGTTCTTCCCTCTGCAGACACTGGGGGAACCCAGCCTTGAGCTACGTTGGTGGCAAACACAGATAGAAAGATCCTTAATGCCACCACTGGAGAAAGGACAGAGACTGCAGGGACCCTGGGCCTGAGCTGGGACAGGGTCTCCAGACCACAAAGCTACTCACCACCCCACGGAACGTTGGAGGGAAAATCCCAAAATACGGTAGGAGGAAGCAACTGCATATGACAGCCTGTGGGTGAGATAGGAAGGACAGAAATGAGTGAAGATCCCCAAAAACTGTTACCTTTGGGAGGGGTGGCTCATCTGTGAGTGCCAGAACAGGGTCCTTTAGCTGGGTTATTGGGCAGCACAGACTAATGGGCACCAGACCATGTCAGATACCCACAACCAGGGCAGAGAAGACGGAAGGGAATCTGTGAAATGCCTCAAGTTTCTTTCTTCATGTTCAGCATAATTCAGACAGTAATCAACAGGGCTGATTTTTGAAAATTATTTCTGCTTGTCAGGATGCAGAGGGTGGCAAGGACAGAAATCATGGCATGGACTAGAATGGACCAGGGCCTGTTAGGATGAGACAATGGCTGATGGTTTGTAACTACAAGGGGGGAGATTTAGATATGGGGAAGATATTTTTTACTTTGAGGGTGTTGAGGCCCTGCACAGGTTGCCCAGAGAAGCTGGGCATCCTGGAACCATCCAAGGCCAGGTAGGATGGGGCTTGAGACCAGCCTGGGACAGTGGAAGGTGTCCCTGCCCATGACAGGGTGGATCTTGATGAGCTTTAAGGTCCCATCCAACCCAAACCATTCTGTGCTTTTGTGCTGTGGGACATGGCCAGGCAGCAAATGTCTCCCAGCTCCTCCCTCATGGGTGGCTGTGGCTGCTCCCACCTGAATCAGCTCCTCCTTCGAGGCAAACTCGGACACTGTCACGCATCTCCAGTCGTGCAGGCGGGTGAGGATAATGTGCAGCTTTCCAGACACCAGCTCGTGGGCATTTGGAGGCAGGAATTTGTCGAAGGTCTCCCTTATGGCTCTATGTACCCGATTTCCAGGGGCCAGCCCCCAGAGAGAGATTTTGAAGAGGTTGAAGAAGTACTCAGTCATCTCATCTGAAGCAAAGCAAAGCAAATAAATCATTCTACATCCCTTATAATGTTATTTATTTGCATTCTGAGCTGCACCTCCACCTGAGAATGGCGTATTTTATCCAGGTGCTAAATGCTTATTTAGGGCCATTGTGTTTTTTTCATTAGGGCTGAAGGTCCCATGCGTGGACCCAACCTTTCCAAGGACTTTCAATATTGTAGAAGACAGAAGTATTCTGTTTTCTTTTTGGATTTCTCGCCAGTTTCTGCACAAGGGATCTTAAATCTTTTTGGACATATGGGAGAAAACGGACAGGAAGCCTTTGTATACCATTTCCTTCTGTTAGCTCTGCATCTATGCCCTACTAATGTATCTTCTTTCTCCTCAATTTTTTGGGAATCTGCCAACAGTCTCAAATGCCTTGTCAAGGAGAGCACCTCTCTTTCTTTTATTAATATGCCTGCCATTAATTCCCATTAATAAGATGCAATGACTGTTTTCCATGTGCTGCCTAATTTACATGTTTTCCACTATTCAAGGAGTAAATAAAGTTTAAAAATCTGAGGAATTAACCATTGATAATGAAACAAATATATTTGGAACGCCAATATTCCCAAGTATGCCATCTCTTTGGACACAAAATAAAAAGAAATCTGTAGCCCTTACCCACAGGACATCCACACAATCCAGCTGTAGCTACAAGAGATCCTGAAGATGCTCCATAGATCCTGTGTGCAGATTTCATTATGTCAGGAGACAAGTCCCGCAAAGCAGATAACACTCCAGTTTGGTATACAATCATGAAACCACATCCTCTAAACAGTATAGAGTAAGGTCTTCCCTCTTTACCACTTATTTTCAGCATCTCTGCTAACTCCAAGCACCCCAACAACAAGGAAACAGCTGCCCAACAGCTTTAGTGGGTTGTCCAGAGCCAGCCCGTGCTCAGCTGTGGTTCCCTTTGCAACTACACTCTCAATGTCTTATATCCCTCTGAGCCAAAGGTGCAGTGAAACAGCAGCAGTGGGCCGAAATGGATGATGTGATGTCCTAATGCTCATTAAAATAAGATTACTGCAATGCAGGGTGCCTGAGGTGAGCACTGGCGGCCCCAGGCGATGGGGACAGCCACATGTCACACTGATGTGTTGGGGGAGCAGCCCAGGGGTCTGATGCTCCCCAGGACTGAGCCTTTGTGAGGGAAAATCTGCTTCCCAAAGTGGTGAACTGCTTCAGTGATACCCTGGAGTTCCAGCACAAAATTCCAGCCCCTTGGGCAGTAGGAATCTGCAAATATTCCCTGGCACAAAAGAGTCTTACAAGCTGCTGCTCAAAAACTCTTGCCTCATTTGCAACAGGTTGCCAAACCCCATCACAATGAGTGGAGAAGGTGGCTGGATTACTAAAGAAATCTAAACCCAGTTAGTTTTCCTTGTTTCACAATTTTAGTTTGCTTACAGAAGGGTAAAAATACAGAGTCCAAGTAACAAGTGATGGTTTCACCTGCCTCCTAGATGACTGAAGTTTCACTAGAGAAAGCGGTTGATAATGAAGGAAAGACTGGGGAAAAAGTCTGACAAGCACAGGGATATGTTGGTAATCCATGTAGAAATGCAAAGCCTTCTTAGAGTTGCTGCTGGGTGAGCCATTGGGAAGCTGCTGGTGGGAAAAGCAGCGCTGAGCGCTGGGCAAGACAGAGGCAAGTGGCCAGAGCAGCCAATAACAACTTGGACATGCCTCTCCTGATATACACAGAAATCCACCCAAGATCTTCAGGCAAAATGCTCCCAAAGTCACCAGGAGATGCTTCTCTCCCTCTTGCTGTGTGCCAGGGCAGTGCTGGAGTGATTTGGATGCAGCCCTGCTCTCTGTGAGGGGGCTGCAAAACAGCCCTGAGGAGAAGAGAGCAGCTGTGCTGGACCTGCTGGGGCTGGCAGGGCTGTGGGCTCCACTAAGCCCAAAGCACCAGTGGAAGGTTAATCCAGCCCCAATTCCACACGGGAGCAGTGTCTGCCACCAGCCAGGAGCCAAGGCCCTGAGCTCCCTGCACACACCTTGCAGGTCCCGCTGCTGAGCAGCAAAGTAAAACTGAAGACTCAAGAGGCATAAATATATTCCATGCCTAATCAGGAGGACAAATGCACTGGAAATAATTGTCCATCTACTCTTGAGTGCAAGGGTCCCCTAAGAATTGACTGCCATGAGAAGAGTCAACTTCAGAAGCAGCTTCTGGTGCAGGAGGGAAGGGGCATTTGGAATGCATGGGTGAGGCACACAAAGCTCTTGAGCTTAAGGCAAACTTTTATGGCCACTTGCATGGCTTGTGGAAAATCCCAGAGCCAGTCTGGGAGCAGCACCAGCATTCCCAGTTCTGCAAGCCTTGTCTTCAAGCCTCCTGCCCTCAGTCAGCAGCACGAGAGGGAACGAGAAATGCGACCCATGATTGCACTGCTTTCCAAATACAGCTGGAGAGCTCTGGCACTCCAGTCCCAAACCAAAGCCACGGATCACGCCACACGGGCCATGTTTTACTCTTAATTGCACCTCTGTAATATTGAGAGAGTTTGTAAATCCCTTTGTTTTACCTTCTTACCCAATCTTGCAGCATCAAGAAGTAAACAGTGTTTATCTTGGAAGAGCAGAAGGAAGCCAAGAGTGCACCTGCTGATTCCGTCCTAGCATTAGTGCCACGTCTCCCTGGCTTTCAAAGCCTTGGACTGTCCCAGGTGTCATCCAAAGGGAGCAAGGAGTTAGAAAAAAATGTAGTTGGGTGCAGTTGTTTTCAGAGTGAGGTACCAGGGCCCCTAAAAGGTGGGGTTTGGAAAGCAGCAATCCAGGTGATCAGAGAAGGAGTGACCCAGGTGGCATAAACAGTGATTGGGAAATGCTGCTGTGGAAATGCAGAAGCTGTTTCTTGGCCTCTCCCTGCCCTGCCCCAGGATGGGATACAGGCTGTGTGTGTCCCTGAGTGATGCCCTGTGTTTCAAGTGTGTTGTTTTACCAGGCCAAACACCCTCATGGCATTTGGCATTTCCCCATCACTGGGTCAGAAACCACTGTGAGCCCAGGGACCCTGCTCATCTGTCCCTCATGTTTTCATCCTGGTTTTGGGGACAAATGTCTCCAGTCCTGCTTCCCCGCACACCAGCCCGGCCTCAGTGCCTCCTGCTCCCGTAGATAATTGGAAACAGCCTGTGATGCTGCAGAGTCCAAAACAGGGAATCTGACCATTCTCTACAGCTACAGCAGGGAGAGAAGAATGAACTGAGGGGCAGAAAGACACCAATGCAGGAAGGCAAAAGTGCAGTTCTGTGTTGGGTTGAAATCTTCCCATGTAAGAGTCTAATGTTAGCAAAAACCAGTCTGGGTTTCTCTCCTTCATGAAAGGTGGATTTTATTATTTGTGTCTAAACAGTCCATGATTAATCGAGGGGTTTCCATGGCAGCTCCCCAGCTGAGTGCACTGGAACAGGAGCAGAATAAAGGAGTGGCTCTGGCAGGGGTCTGAACTTTCCCATGCTAGGGCCTTGCTCACCTGTGTGTGCTCACCTGGGCCCCTCAGTTGCCTCTTGGCTGCTCCGTGTTTCCTCACATGGCAGTGGCTGCCTCCTCAGCAGGCAGGGCTGACACTGGCCTAGGGAGCACATTCCCATCCCTGCCCTCCCACCAGGACACAGATTTTAGCAGAGTTGACAACACGAGTGACGTTTTTGCCACTGATGTCGCAGGCAACCTTTCTTCTAGGTGGGAAAGAAAAGAGTGGAAATGGTGCACCCTGGACCTTGCCTCACTAGTTGGAATTTCTGTGCCTTTGGCAGCTCCCAGAACGAGCCCCAGCACACTTACCTTTCCTTCTACCAGGAGTGTGGCAGAGGAACATCCAGCCTATCCTCCGTTCAGCATTAAGCAGAGAAGCCTTTTCCCTGTTCCTGTGACAAACACCTCACCTGGGGACACGAGGTGATGATACCACTGCCCAGGGCAGTTGCGAGAGCTGCGCTGACAGAGGTGAAATGGTGACTTTGTCACGGTGACTTCACCCAGCTCTGGAGCAGCGCCTGGTGCTCCCAGCCAAGGGCAGGGCTCTGCAGGACAGACCTTCCTGCTCAGCTGCACCCTGTGCACAGAGCACCAGGAAATGTTGGAGCAGATCACCTCCAGCTGGAAGGAGTTCTGGCAGGCACAGCTTCATGTTGGGCCAGAAGAGATTCCTTAGCCTTGCCAGAGCCTTAGAATCACCCTGTTATATCACTAAGACATTCACTAAGAGAATGGTTTGGCCTGGAAGAAACTTTAAACCATATCCAATTCCACCTCTGCCATGGCAGGGACACCTTCACTAACCCAGATTGCTCCAAGCCCTGTCCAGCCTGGCCTTGAAATAATGACATACGAGAGCCAAGGGGGAGTCCTGCACAATGTAGGCACAGCTAGACTGCTGGCTTAAAGGTAAAAGGAAAAGCTCAGCCTAGATGGATTTCCACCAAAATGGCAGTCTGGGAGGCTCTGGTGCAGGGGCCGCTGCTCAGCAGCAGGAGGATGATGCTCCTACAGAACCGTGGAATCATTGACTCATGCAATGGTTTGGGTGGAAAGGGACCTTAATGCTCATCTCATTCCAGCCCCTGCCATGGGCAGGGACAACTTCCACTAGACCCGGTTCCTTCAAGCCCTGTCCAGCCTGGCCTGGCTTCAGGTGCTACTCGGTGAATCTCTGTTCCCTGGATTAACCCTTTTTTCCTGGATTTACTTGCCCCCGGTCAGGGCCTGCTTTTCCCGTTGCTCTGAGGGCTCGGCAGCTCCGCCCCTGGCGCTCTGAGGGCCCGGCCGCTCCTGCTGCCTGGGCTCTGAGGGCTCGGCCGCTCCGGCCCCTGGCGCTCTCAGGGCTCGGCCGTTCCCGTTCCCGCTCCAAGGGCTCTGAGGGCTCGGCCATTCCCAGTCCCGTTGCTCCGAGGGATCGGCCGTTCCCCTTTCCATTGCTCTGAGGGCTCGGCCGTTCCGGCCCCTGGCGCTCTCAGGGCTCGGCCGTTCCCGTTCCCGTTGCTCTGAGGGCTCCGCCATTCCTGCCTCTGGCGCTCTGAGGGCTCAGCCGATCCTTCTGCCCTCACTGCTGCCCTTTGCCAACTGGGCGGCTGCAGCAAGCGTCGTCCCTTTGCATGCATCGTGGGAGTCTTTAGAAACGCAGGTAAGGCTTGTTAATTTGTGGTGGTTGCTATGAATAAATATTTTTTTTTGTCTGGATGTTACATTCTCTCTGCACGGCCCAGACCATGTCTGACACAGATGATGAAGCTGGGCCTGTTGTAAGGAACACCCACTATGTGCTGGTGCTCCCAAATCAAGGAGGATTTTGAGAATCCCAGACTGGTTTAGGTGGGAAGGGGCCTTAAAGCTCATCTCCTTTCACTTCATTCCAGAGGGTGAGGATATGGAGATGTTTCAGCTGATCACCATCAGTTGGAAGGTGTTTGGGCAGGCCCAACTGAATTTCAGCCTAGAAGAGATTCCTTAGTCTATGTGAACCCTTAGGATCACCCAGTTATACCAGAAAGACACTTGAAAAGTAGATCACAGAATCCCAGAATGGTTTGGGTTGGAAGAGACCTCACCCCCTGTCTCAACCCTGCTATGGCAGGAAGACCTTCACTGTCCCAGGTTGCTGCAAGCAGTGGATAGCCAGCGACCCTTGTCCTGTGCTGGCAGTTCCCGATGAGGGGTCCCTCTCCAGCTTCCCTGTAGCCCCTTCAGCTCCTTGAAAGGGCCGTGAGGTGTCCACACAACCTTCTCTTCTCCTGGCTGAACAGCCCCACCTCGCTCAGCCTGTCTCCATAGGGGAGGTGCTGCAGTCCCCTTATGACGTTCTGGCCTATTCTGATGGATCCCGTTTGCATTGGATCCTGTCTGCTCCTGTCTTGAATCCAGTCTGGATGGATTTGCACTTCTCAAGCACTGCAGCCAAAGGCAGGCTGCTCCAGTCCAGCCACAGGGCAAAGTGGAAGGCTCAGAGACACCCAGGCCTCCCCAGGCAGGAACAAACAGTCCATCATTTGCTTTTGCACCTCTGCTCCCTCCCAATTATCCAACAGCTCCTTCTCCAGGCTGCTGCAAGCACCATCCCTACGTCCAGGCAGGATATTACCATTCAGTCAGCCTGAGGCAGCTACCCTATTGAAATGAGCATTAAAATCTGCCAGAGAAACTTCTCATCTAGGAATTGGACTTCCAAATCATTAGATGCATCTGCAAACCTTAGACACAAACAGGAGCACAGTTTGAAATGTTCCGGGGTATCTCCCCTGCCCCATCTGGTGCTAGATCATAAGCAATTAGCAAAACATTGTGAACTTTTTGAAAAATCCATCTACAAGTAATCCCCAAAGTGAAATGGTCTCAGCACAGAATCCTCCTGCTCCAAACCTGCAGGAATGAGGAAGAAATAAGAATTTAACAATTTAATATTCCAGTCAGCTGGGTTTTGTTTATTAATCCCTCATCTTTTCAAGCAAGCAGAGCTGGTGCTGTCTCCTCTTGGAGACACGAGCTTGGAGCTAATGGCAATGGAGACTTTGAGAGAGGCAATGGATAGAGGCAAAGTTTGGCATTGATTGGAATCATCTTGTGCAGGAGCTTGTTTCACTGCAAGGAAGCAAAGTGGGAAGCCCAGCTGCACCCAGTGGGGATAGAACCAGCCTGGAATGCCTCCTCTAGGGGTGGATCATGGGAATCATCCCGGGCTGTGGCCCTGCCTGTGCTGTGGCATTGCTGGCAGAGCCCATGTGCTCCTCAGGGCAGGTCAGGCTCAGCCTTCAGGCTGGGTTCCAAGTTGCTCATTGGTTTTTAAAGCAGAAGCTGGGGCCAAAGGCAGCAGCAGGCTCAGAAATGCTCTTCTGTGGCCGACCTGGTCCTAAAGGGAATAAAAGCACGTTGGTCAGTCTGACAGACACCTCTGGCAGTTCCTGTGGGACAAAGTGGATGCTGTGGGACAAAGTGCCTGTTGAGAGCTGCTTCCCTTCCTCCAGATGTCTGAAGGGCAGCTGGTTTTGGTATCCTCAAAATATTGCCCTTGTACCCCTGTCCTGTTGCTTGTCTCCATCTGCTTGGAACTCAGCAGGAATGTGAAGCCTGAGGTGGATGGGATGAGAGTCTGGAGGCCAGGCAAGGCAGCAAGACAAATGCTCTGGAGGTGGAGAGCCTGGACTCACTCCTTGATTGCTCTCTGGCCTAACAAATGAGTCTTGATTCCTCCCACAGGAGGAATTTTTCACCTCAGGCTGGTTAAAAACCTTGCAGCCCAGCTGCAAAGCAGAGGCAGCAATTCCTGACAGTCCAGAGCTGCCCAACTTCCAAAGAAACCTCATTCCCAGCCTGTTGCTTCCAAAAGCTCCACATAGGTCAGACTGATGGTGCCTTTAAAAAAGCAACCAGGGAAGCAACTTCTACAGCCTAACACTGTGTCCTGCATTTCTTAGTGGGTCGAGAGTTGGCTTCTCCATGGAGCCCTTCTGACCCAGCCACCAATGAAGTCCTCAGTGTTCACCCAAATCCAGGGTGAGGGCTCAGTGTGAGGCCTCACTTGTAACCCCTGAGGTGAGAGGGAAGTTTCTCCCATCCCTGTCCATTCTCACCGGCCCCAGAGCCTCTTTGGGCACTGACAGCCCTGGGCAAGTGTCACTTGAAAATGGATGTGGTAAAGGAAGAGCTGGTTCTTTACCTGCCTGGGGTGGAGAAGGTGGTGTGAGGCTTCCTATTCTTCTTTATCTGCTGCCTGGATGATTCCTGGATTCTCTTTGTTGTCATCCTCATGATCTGTGGCTCTGGAGTGAAAAAGCCTCAGTCGTGGCTTCAGGTGCAGGGTCTCGTCACCTTTCTGATTTGGTTCATTGGCCAAGGAAAGTGTGAAGCCCTCAAAGTAATTCACCTGGAAATCCCCTGGTGGGAAGAGATTCCAGCTCTCAGTGCTTGTTGCTCAACTGCCAGATCTGCAGCAGTGTGAGGCGAGACCTGGGCTGAGTGGAAATCAGGGATACTGATGATCCCGGGGCTTGGGAATCACCAAACATTGCTGCTCTGCGCATCAGGAGCTTATCAAACACCACACAGGGCACGTGAGCCTGCGCTTGTGTCTAGAGGTCCTGGGACCTGTGTTCCCTGGGGAAAGCTCTGTCATGCCCAGTGTGGCAGAGAAAAGGGGAGTGTGGCTCCGGAGGCAGCTTCAGGAGAGGCCAGGAATCAAGGAATCCTGGCCGTGCCAGGAATACAGGCATTTCTCTGCCCCAGTCACTCTGGGGCAGCATCTCTTACCTTGTGTCAGCAAACCAAGGATGTAGGGGAAGCACCCAACCTACCTGTCCACACTTCCAGTCACTTACTCAGTCTTTTTAGGAAGGAGACTGTGTCCTGGTAGCCCTGGGCATAAAAGAGGTCCATGACCTGTGAGGGGAGGCAGCAGTCAGTGCAGCTGGGCTGCTGCAGGGGGCTCAGGGCTCTGGCTGCCTGGAGGAGCTGCTCACCTGATGTGTGGGACACAGAAAAATGTGCTGTAAGCGGCAGATGTTCATTTTTGAGATCTGTAAGATACAGTCAGAGATCTGGAAGGTCAAGAAGGCAGCGGGGCCATCCTTGGGGCAGATGTCGTATTCGCCGGCAAAGCCAGAGATGGTGATGGTGGTGCGGGACACGAAGTCGGCTCTCCACATGGCCAGCTCCCCGTCCACGTAGCGCTGGGAGACAGAACAGGGAGCCCTGAGCCTTCCCCTTGCAGGGAGAGCAGTGCTGTTCACATGGGCAAACGTGGGCCTTGTTCCCTGGCCAGGCCCACAGCAGACCAAGGTTCTGGGGCTCCACAGATCCCCTTCCAGGGAACTGCCCACCTGCTGCTGCCGTGCTCCAGGTCCACACCTGCCCTACTCCCTTCCCTCCAGAAATCTGCAATGAACCTGGGAGGAAAGTACAGCAGAACAGAGGTGGGGCAACCCCAGGGGCAGGAGTAGATGGACAATCCTGTGGGAAGCTCAGTCCTGTCTGCAGTGAGGTCAGATTTTGGGGCCCTGTTCTTCCCCCTGCAGACACTGGGGGAACCCAGCCTTGAGCTACGTTGGTGGCAAACACAGATAGAAAGATCCTTAATGCCACCACTGGAGAAAGGACAGAGACTGCAGGGACCCTGGGCCTGAGCTGGGACAGGGTCTCCAGACCACAAAGCTACTCACCACCCCACGGAACGTTGGAGGGAAAATCCCAAAATACAGTGGAATGAAGGAACTGCACAACACAGCCTGTGGGTGAGATAGGAAGGACAGAAATGAGTGAAGATCCCCAAAAACTGTTACCTTTGGGAGGGGTGGCTCATCTGTGAGTGCCAGAACAGGGTCCTTTAGCTGGGTTATTGGGCAGCACAGACTAATGGGCACCAGACCATGTCAGATACCCACAACCAGGGCAGAGAAGACGGAAGGGAATCTGTGAAATGCCTCAAGTTTCTTTCTTCATGTTCAGCATAATTCAGACAGTAATCAACAGGGCTGATTTTTGAAAATTATTTCTGCTTGTCAGGATGCAGAGGGTGGCAAGGACAGAAATCATGGCATGGACTAGAATGGACCAGGGCCTGTTAGGATGAGACAATGGCTGATGGTTTGTAACTACAAGGGGGGAGATTTAGATATGGGGAAGATATTTTTTACTTTGAGGGTGTTGAGGCCCTGCACAGGTTGCCCAGAGAAGCTGGGCATCTTGGAACCATCCAAGGCCAGGTAGGATGGGGCTTGAGACCAGCCTGGGACAGTGGAAGGTGTCCCTGCCCATGACAGGGTGGATCTTGATGAGCTTTAAGGTCCCATCCAACCCAAACCATTCTGTGCTTTTGTGCTGTGGGACATGGCCAGGCAGCAAATGTCTCCCAGCTCCTCCCTCATGGGTGGCTGTGGCTGCTCCCACCTGAATCAGCTCCTCCTTCGAGGCAAACTCGGACACTGTCACACATCTCCAGTCGTGCAGGCGGGTGAGGATAATGTGCAGCTTTCCAGACACCAGCTCGTGGGCATTTGGAGGCAGGAATTTGTCGAAGGTCTCCCTTAAGGCTCTATGTACCCGATTTCCAGGGACCAGCCCCCAGAGAGAGATTTTCAAGCGGCTGAAGAAGTACTCAATCACCTCATCTGAAGCAAAGCAAAGCAAAGCAAATAAATCATTCTACATCCCTTATAATGTTATTTATTTGCATTCTGAGCTGCACTTCCACCTGAGAATGGGGTATTTTATCCAGGTGCTAAATGCTTATTTAGGGCCATTGTGTTTTTTTCATTAGGGCTGAAGGTCCCATGCGTGGACCCAACCTTTCCAAGGACTTTCAATATTGTAAGAGGCAGATGTATTCTGTTTTCTTTTTGGATTTCTCGCCAGTTTCTGCACAAGGGATCTTAAATCTTTTTGGACATATGGGAGAAAATGGACCGGAAGCCTTTGTATACCATTTCCTTCTGTTAGCTCTGCATATATGCCCTGCTAATTTGATTTGTTTCCCATTGTTGTTTTGGGAATCTACCAACCATCCCCAATGCCTTATCAGGGAGTGCATGTCTCTTTTTCTAGATATGCCTGCCATGAATTCCTGTTAATAAGATGCAATGAGTATATTGACACTCTTTTATCTTTGCTGCTTAGTTCACCCATGTTTTTCAACATTCTAGAAGCCAATAAAGTTTAAAAATATGAGGATTTAAGCACTGATAATGAAACAAAAATATTTTGCAACTCCAATATTACCAGGTATTTCATCTCTTTAGACACAAACTAAACAGAAATCTGTAGCCCTTACCCACATGACATCCACACAATCCAGCTGTAGCTACAATAGATCCTGAAGATGCTCCATAGATCCTGTGTGCAGATTTCATTATGTCAGGAGACAAGTCCCGCAAAGCAGATAACACTCCAGTTTGGTATACAAGCATGGAACTACATCCTCTAAACAGTATAGAGTAAGGTCTTCCCTCTTTGCCACTTATTTTCAGCATCTCTGCTAACTCCAAGCACCCCAACAACAAGGAAACAGCTGCCCAACAGCTTTAGTGGGTTGTCCAGAGCCAGCCCGTGCTCAGCTGTGGTTCCCTTTGCAACTACACTCTCAATGTCTTATATCCCTCTGAGCCAAAGGTGCAGTGAAACAGCAGCAGTGGGCCGAAATGGATGATGTGATGTCCTAATGCTCATTAAAATAAGATTATTGCAATGCAGGGTTCCTGAGGTGAGCACTGGCAGCCCCAGGCGATGGGGACAGCCACATGTCACACTGATGTGTTGGGGGAGCAGCCCAGGGGTCTGATGCTCCCCAGGACTGAGCCTTTGTGAGGGAAAATCTGCTTCCCAAAGTGGTGAACTGCTTCAGTGATACCCTGGAGTTCCAGCACAAAATTCCAGCCCCTTGGGCAGTAGGAATCTGCAAATATTCCCTGGCACAAAAGAGTCTTACAAGCTGCTGCTCAAAAACTCTTGCCTCATTTGCAACAGGTTGCCAAACCCCATCACAATGAGTGGAGAAGGTGGCTGGATTACTAAAGAAATCTAAACCCAGTTAGTTTACCTTGTTTCACAATTTTAGTTTGCTTACAGAAGGGTAAAAATACAGAGTCAAAGTAACAACTGATGGTTTCACCTGCCTCGTAGATGACTGAAGTTTCAGTAGAGAAAGCGGTTGATAAAGAAGGAAAGACTGGGGAAAAAGTCTGACAAGCACAGGGATATGTTGGTAATCCATGTAGAAATGCAAAGCCTTCTTAGAGTTGCTGCTGGGTGAGCCATTGGGAAGCTGCTGGTGGGAAAAGCAGCGCTGAGCGCTGGGCAAGACAGAGGCAAGTGGCCAGAGCAGCCAATAACAACTTGGACATGCCTCTCCTGATATACACAGAAATCCACCCAAGATCTTCAGGCAAAATGCTCCCAAAGTCACCAGGAGATGCTTCTCTCCCTCTTGCTGTGTGCCAGGGCAGTGCTGGAGTGATTTGGATGCAGCCCTGCTCTCTGTGAGGGGGCTGCAAAACAGCCCTGAGGAGAAGAGAGCAGCTGTGCTGGACCTGCTGGGGCTGGCAGGGCTGTGGGCTCCACTAAGCCCAAAGCACCAGTGCAAGGTTAATCCAGCCCCAATTCCACACGGGAGCAGTGTCTGCCACCAGCCAGGAGCCAAGGCCCTGAGCTCCCTGCACACACCTTGCAGGTCCCACTGCTGAGCAGCAAAGTAAAACTGAAGACTCAAGAGGCATAAATATATTCCATGCCTAATCAGGAGGACAAATGCACTGGAAATAATTTTCCATCTACTCTTGAGTGCAAGGGTCCCCTAAGAATTGACTGCAATGAGAAGAGTCAACTTCAGAAGCAGCTTCTGGTGCAGGAGGGAAGGGGCATTTGGAATGCATGGGTGAGGCACACAAAGCTCTTGAGCTTAAGGAAAACTTTTATGGCCACTTGCATGGCTTTTCTGGGAGCAGCACCAGCATTCCCAGTTCTTCAAGCCTTGTGTTCAAGCCTCCTGCCCTCAGTCAGCAGCACGAGAGGGAACTAGAAATGCGACCCATGATTGCACTGCTTTCCAAATACAGCTGGAGAGCTCTGGCACTCCAGTCCCAAACCAAAGCCACGGATCACGCCACACGGGCCATGTTTTACTCTTAATTGCACCTCTGTAATATTGAGAGAGTTTGTAAATCCCTTTGTTTTACCTTCTTACCCAATCTTGCAGCATCAAGAAGTAAACAGTGTTTATCTTGGAAGAGCAGAAGGAAGACAAGAGTGCACCTGCTGATTCCGTCCTAGCATTAGTGCCACGTCTCCCTGGCTTTCAAAGCCTTGGACTGTCCCAGGTGTCATCCAAAGGGAGCAAGGAGTTAGAAAAAAATGTAGTTGGGTGCAGTTGTTTTCAGAGTGAGGTACCAGGGCCCCTAAAAGGTGGGGTTTGGAAAGCAGCAATCCAGGTGATCAGAGAAGGAGTGACCCAGGTGGCATAAACAGTGATTGGGAAATGCTGCTGTGGAAATGCAGAAGCTGTTTCTTGGCCTCTCCCTGCCCTGCCCCAGGATGGGATACAGGCTGTGTGTGTCCCTGAGTGATGCCCTGTGTTTCAAGTGTGTTGTTTTACCAGGCCAAACACCCTCATGGCATTTGGCATTTCCCCATCACTGGGTCAGAAACCACTGTGAGCCCAGGGACCCTGCTCATCTGTCCCTCATGTTTTCATCCTGGTTTTGGGGACAAATGTCTCCAGTCCTGCTTCCCCGCACACCAGCCCGGCCTCAGTGCCTCCTGCTCCCGTAGATAATTGGAAACAGCCTGTGATGCTGCAGAGTCCAAAACAGGGAATCTGACCATTCTCTACAGCTACAGCAGGGAGAGAAGAATGAACTGAGGGGCAGAAAGACACCAATGCAGGAAGGCAAAAGTGCAGTTCTGTGTTGGGTTGAAATCTTCCCATGTAAGAGTCTAATGTTAGCAAAAACCAGTCTGGGTTTCTCTCCTTCATGAAAGGTGGATTTTATTATTTGTGTCTAAACAGTCCATGATTAATCGAGGGGTTTCCATGGCAGCTCCCCAGCTGAGTGCACTGGAACAGGAGCAGAATAAAGGAGTGGCTCTGGCAGGGGTCTGAACTTTCCCATGCTAGGGCCTTGCTCACCTGTGTGTGCTCACCTGGGCCCCTCAGTTGCCTCTTGGCTGCTCCGTGTTTCCTCACATGGCAGTGGCTGCCTCCTCAGCAGGCAGGGCTGACACTGGCCTAGGGAGCACATTCCCATCCCTGCCCTCCCACCAGGACACAGATTTTAGCAGAGTTGACAACACAAGTGACGTTTTTGCCACTGACGTCGCAGGCAACCTTTCTTCTAGGTGGGAAAGAAAAGAGTGGAAATGGTGCACCCTGGACCTTGCCTCACTAGTTGGAATTTCTGTGCCTTTGGCAGCTCCCAGAACGAGCCCCAGCACACTTACCTTTCCTTCTACCAGGAGTGTGGCAGAGGAACATCCAGCCTATCCTCCGTTCAGCATTAAGCAGAGAAGCCTTTTCCCTGTTTCTGTGACAAACACCTCACCTGGGGACACGAGGTGATGATACCACTGCAAAGGGCAGTTGCGAGAGCTGCGCTGACAGAGGTGAAATGGTGACTTTGTCACGGTGACTTCACCCAGCTCTGGAGCAGCGCCTGGTGCTCCCAGCCAAGGGCAGGGCTCTGCAGGACAGACCTTCCTGCTCAGCTGCACCCTGTGCACAGAGCACCAGGAAATGTTGGAGCAGATCACCTCCAGCTGGAAGGAGTTCTGGCAGGCACAGCTTCATGTTGGGCCAGAAGAGATTCCTTAGCCTTGCCAGAGCCTTAGAATCACCCTGTTATATCACTAAGACATTCACTAAGAGAATGGTTTGGCCTGGAAGAAACTTTAAACCATATCCAATTCCACCTCTGCCATGGCAGGGACACCTTCACTAACCCAGATTGCTCCAAGCCCTGTGCAGCCTGGCCTTGAAATAATGACATACGAGAGCCAAGGGGGAGTCCTGCACAATGTAGGCACAGCTAGACTGCTGGCTTAAAGGTAAAAGGAAAAGCTCAGCCTAGATGGATTTCCACCAAAATGGCAGTCTGGGAGGCTCTGGTGCAGGGGCTGCTGCTCAGCAGCAGGAGGATGATGCTCCTACAGAACCGTGGAATCATTGACTCATGCAATGGTTTGGGTGGAAAGGGACCTTAATGCTCATCTCATTCCAGCCCCTGCCATGGGCAGGGACAACTTCCACTAGACCAGGTTCCTTCAAGCCCTGTCCAGCCTGGCCTGGCTTCAGGTGCTACTCGGTGAATCTCTGTTCCCTGGATTAACCCTTTTTTCCTGGATTCACTTGCCCCCGGTCAGGGCCTGCTTTTCCCGTTGCTCTGAGGGCTCGGCAGCTCCGCCCCTGGCGCTCTGAGGGCCCGGCCGCTCCTGCTGCCTGGGCTCTGAGGGCTCGGCCGTTCCGGCCCCTGGCGCTCTCAGGGCTCGGACGTTCCCGTTCCCGCTCCAAGGGCTCTGAGGGCTCGGCCATTCCCAGTCCCGTTGCTCCGAGGGATCGGCCGTTCCCCTTTCCATTGCTCTGAGGGCTCGGCCGTTCCGGCCCCTGGCGCTCTCAGGGCTCGGCCGTTCCCGTTCCCGTTGCTCTGAGGGCTCCGCCATTCCTGCCTCTGGCGCTCTGAGGGCTCAGCCGATCCTTCTGCCCTCACTGCTGCCCTTTGCCAACTGGGCGGCTGCAGCAAGCGTCGTCCCTTTGCATGCATCGTGGGAGTCTTTAGAAACGCAGGTAAGGCTTGTTAATTTGTGGTGGTTGCTATGAATAAATATTTTTTTTTGTCTGGATGTTACATTCTCTCTGCACGGCCCAGACCATGTCTGACACAGATGATGAAGCTGGGCCTGTTGTAAGGAACACCCACTATGTGCTGGTGCTCCCAAATCAAGGAGGATTTTGAGAATCCCAGACTGGTTTAGGTGGGAAGGGGCCTTAAAGCTCATCTCCTTTCACTTCATTCCAGAGGGTGAGGATATGGAGATGTTTCAGCTGATCACCATCAGTTGGAAGGTGTTTGGGCAGGCCCAACTGAATTTCAGCCTAGAAGAGATTCCTTAGTCTATGTGAACCCTTAGGATCACCCAGTTATACCAGAAAGACACTTGAAAAGTAGATCACAGAATCCCAGAATGGTTTGGGTTGGAAGAGACCTCACCCCCTGTCTCAACCCTGCTATGGCAGGAAGACCTTCACTGTCCCAGGTTGCTGCAAGCAGTGGATAGCCAGCGACCCTTGTCCTGTGCTGGCAGTTCCCGATGAGGGGTCCCTCTCCAGCTTCCCTGTAGCCCCTTCAGCTCCTTGAAAGGGCCGTGAGGTGTCCACACAACCTTCTCTTCTCCTGGCTGAACAGCCCCAACTCGCTCAGCCTGTCTCCATAGGGGAGGTGCTGCAGTCCCCTTATGACGTTCTGGCCTATTCTGATGGATCCCGTTTGCATTGGATCCTGTCTGCTCCTGTCTTGCATCCAATCTGGATGGATTTGCACTTCTCAAGCACTGCAGCCAAAAGCAGGCTGCTCCAGTCCAGCCACAGGGCAAAGTGGAAGGCTCAGAGACACCCAGGCCTCCCCAGGCAGGAACAATCAGTCCATCATTTGCTTTTGCACCTCTGCTCCCTCCCACTTATCCAACAGCTCCTTGTCCAGGCTGCTGCAAGCACCATCCCTACGTCCAGGCAGGATATTACCATTCAGTCAGCCTGAGGCAGCTACCCTATTGAAATGAGCATTAAAATCTGCCAGAGAAACTTCTCATCTAGGAATTGGACTTCCAAATCCATTAGATGCATCTGCAAACCTTAGACACAAACAGGAGCACAGTTTGAAATGTTCCGGGGTATCTCCCCTGCCCCATCTGGTGCTTGATCATAAGCAATTAGCAAAACATTGTGAACTTTTTGAAAAATCCATCTACAAGTAATCCCCAAAGTGAAATGGTCTCAGCACAGAATCCTCCTGCTCCAAACCTGCAGGAATGAGGAGGAAATAAGAATTTAACAATTTAATATTCCAGTCAGCTGGGTTTTGTTTATTAATCCCTCATCTTTTCAAGCAAGCAGAGCTGGTGCTGTCTCCTCTTGGAGACACGAGCTTGGAGCTAATGGCAATGGAGACTTTGAGAGAGGCAATGGATAGAGGCAAAGTTTGGCATTGATTGGAATCATCTTGTGCAGGAGCTTGTTTCACTGCAAGGAAGCAAAGTGGGAAGCCCAGCTGCACCCAGTGGGGATAGAACCAGCCTGGAATGCCTCCTCTAGGGGTGGATCATGGGAATCATCCCGGGCTGTGGCCCTGCCTGTGCTGTGGCATTGCTGGCAGAGCCCATGTGCTCCTCAGGGCAGGTCAGGCTCAGCCTTCAGGCTGGGTTCCAAGTTGCTCATTGGTTTTTAAAGCAGAAGCTGGGGCCAAAGGCAGCAGCAGGCTCAGAAATGCTCTTCTGTGGCTGATCTGGTCCTAAAGGGAATAAAAGCACGTTGATCAGTCTGACAGACACCTCTGGCAGTTCCTGTGGGACAAAGTGCCTGTTGAGAGCTGCTTCCCTTCCTCCCGATGTCTGAAGGGCAGCCGTTTTTGGTATCCTCAAAATATTGCCCTTGTACCCCTGTCCTGTTGCTTGTCTCCTTCTGCTTGGAACTCAGCAGGAATGTGAAGCCTGAGATGGATGGGATGAGAGTCTGGAGACAAGGCAAGGCAGCAGAGCTCCCTCTGGAGCTGGAGCCCGCTGCAGCTCTAGAGGGAAGAGTCCTTGGGTCTGATCCATGAAACTGAGCCCAACAAAGCCAAGCACGTGCCCAGTCCTGCCTGTGGCTCTGGCTCTTGGCTGCAGGTGCTTTATGCCAGACTCGCTTTCCAGTCTGGGCACTAAGGAGGTGCAATTCCTTGTGCAGTTGTCCTGCTGGACACACAGAGAAGTGCTACTGGATAACCTGCTAGTGCAGCCTGAGCCTCATGGGATTGCAGGCTGCAGACACTTGTCCAAGAAATCAAGTACAAGTTGTTCACAAGTTTATCCCCCTGCTGCTCTGGTAGCATCACTGCTGTTCTGGCATTGCGCAGAGAAACAGTGAAAGAGCCTATTCCTGACCTTGATCAGTAGGGCTTTTCCTTCCCAGAACTGGAAAATGTGATGTGCTTCTGCTCTGGAGGTGGAGAGCCTGGACTCACTCCTTGATTGCTCTCTGGCCTAACAAATGAGTCTTGATTCCTCCCACAGGAGGAATTTTTCACCTCAGGCTGGTTAAAAACCTTGCAGCCCAGCTGCAAAGCAGAGGCAGCAATTCCTGACAGCCCAGAGCTGCCCAATTTGCAAAGAAACCTCATTCCCAGCCTGTTGCTTCCAAAAGCTCCACATAGGTCAGACTGATGGTGTCTTTATAAAAGCAACCAGGGAAGCAACTTCTACAGCCTAACACTGTGTCCTGCATTTCTTAGTGGGTCGAGAGTTGGCTTCTCCATGGAGCCCTTCTGACCCAGCCACCAATGAAGTCCTCAGTGTTCACCCAAATCCAGGGTGAGGGCTCAGTGTGAGGCCTCACTTGTAACCCCTGAGGTGAGAGGGAAGTTTCTCCCATCCCTGCCCATTCTCACCGGCCCCAGAGCCTCTTTGGGCACTGACAGCCCTGTGCAAGTGTCACTTGAAAATGGATGTGGTAAAGGAAGAGCTGGTTCTTTACCTGCCTGGGGTGGAGAAGGTGGTGTGAGGCTTCCTATTCTTCTTTATCTGCTGCCTGGATGATTCCTGGATTCTCTTTGTTGTCATCCTCATGATCTGTGGCTCTGGAGTGAAAAAGCCTCAGTCGTGGCTTCAGGTGCAGGGTCTCGTCACCTTTCTGATTTGGTTCATTGGCCAAGGAAAGTGTGAAGCCCTCAAAGTAATTCACCTGGAAATCCCCTGGTGGGAAGAGATTCCAGCTCTCAGTGCTTGTTGCTCAACTGCCAGATCTGCAGCAGTGTGAGGCGAGACCTGGGCTGAGTGGAAATCAGGGATACTGATGATCCCGGGGCTTGGGAATCACCAAACATTGCTGCTCTGCGCATCAGGAGCTTATCAAACACCACACAGGGCACGTGAGCCTGCGCTTGTGTCTAGAGGTCCTGGGACCTGTGTTCCCTGGGGAAAGCTCTGTCATGCCCAGTGTGGCAGAGAAAAGGGGAGTGTGGCTCCGGAGGCAGCTTCAGGAGAGGCCAGGAATCAAGGAATCCTGGCCGTGCCAGGAATACAGGCATTTCTCTGCCCCAGTCACTCTGGGGCAGCATCTCTTACCTTGTGTCAGCAAACCAAGGGTGTAGGGGAAGCACCCAACCTACCTGTCCACATTCCCAGTCACTTACTCAGTCTTTTTAGGAAGGAGACTGTGTCCTGGTAGCCCTGGGCATAAAAGCGGTCCATGACCTGTGAGGGGAGGCAGCAGTCAGTGCAGCTGGGCTGCTGCAGGGGGCTCAGGGCTCTGGCTGCCTGGAGGAGCTGCTCACCTGATGTGTGAGAACCTGTAAAACGTGTTGTAAGCGGCAGATGTTCATTTTTGAGATCTGTAAGATACAGTCAGAGATCTGGAAGGTCAAGAAGGCAGCGGGGCCATCCTTGGGGCAGATGTCGTATTCGCCAGCGAAGGCAGAGATGGTGATGGTGGTGCGGGACACGAAGTCGGCTCTCCACATGGCCAGCTCCCCGTCCACGTAGCGCTGGGAGACAGAACAGGGAGCCCTGAGCCTTCCCCTTGCAGGGAGAGCAGTGCTGTTCACATGGGCAAACGTGGGCCTTGTTCCCTGGCCAGGCCCACAGCAGACCAAGGTTCTGGGGCTCCACAGATCCCCTTCCAGGGAACTGCCCACCTGCTGCTGCTGTGCTCCAGGTCCACACCTGCCCTACTCCCTTCCCTCCAGAAATCTGCAATGAACCTGGGAGGAAAGTACAGCAGAACAGAGGTGGGGCAACCCCAGGGGCAGGAGTAGATGGACAATCCTGTGGGAAGCTCAGTCCTGTCTGCAGTGAGGTCAGATTTTGGGGCCCTGTTCTTCCCTCTGCAGACACTGGGGGAACCCAGCCTTGAGCTACGTTGGTGGCAAACACAGATAGAAAGATCCTTAATGCCACCACTGGAGAAAGGACAGAGACTGCAGGGACCCTGGGCCTGAGCTGGGACAGGGTCTCCAGACCACAAAGCTACTCACCACCCCACGGAACGTTGGAGGGAAAATCCCAAAATACAGTGGAACGGAGCAACTGCATATGACAGCCTGTGGGTGAGATAGGAAGGACAGAAATGAGTGAAGATCCCCAAAAACTGTTACCTTTGGGAGGGGTGGCTCATCTGTGAGTGCCAGAACAGGGTCCTTTAGCTGGGTTATTGGGCAGCACAGACTAATGGGCACCAGACCATGTCAGATACCCACAACCAGGGCAGAGAAGACGGAAGGGAATCTGTGAAATGCCTCAAGTTTCTTTCTTCATGTTCAGCATAATTCAGACAGTAATCAACAGGGCTGATTTTTGAAAATTATTTCTGCTTGTCAGGATGCAGAGGGTGGCAAGGACAGAAATCATGGCATGGACTAGAATGGACCAGGGCCTGTTAGGATGAGACAATGGCTGATGGTTTGTAACTACAAGGGGGGAGATTTAGATATGGGGAAGATATTTTTTACTTTGAGGGTGTTGAGGCCCTGCACAGGTTGCCCAGAGAAGCTGGGCATCTTGGAACCATCCAAGGCCAGGTAGGATGGGGCTTGAGACCAGCCTGGGACAGTGGAAGGTGTCCCTGCCCATGACAGGGTGGATCTTGATGAGCTTTAAGGTCCCATCCAACCCAAACCATTCTGTGCTTTTGTGCTGTGGGACATGGCCAGGCAGCAAATGTCTCCCAGCTCCTCCCTCATGGGTGGCTGTGGCTGCTCCCACCTGAATCAGCTCCTCCTTCGAGGCAAACTCGGACACTGTCACGCATCTCCAGTCGTGCAGGCGGGTGAGGATAATGTGCAGCTTTCCAGACACCAGCTCGTGGGCATTTGGAGGCAGGAATTTGTCGAAGGTCTCCCTTAAGGCTCTAAATACCCGTCCTCCAGGGGCCAGCCCCCAGAGAGAAATTTTGAAGCGGCTGAAGAAGTACTCAATCACCTCATCTGAAGCAAAGCAAAGCAAAGCAATCATTCTACATCCCTTATAATGTTATTTATTTGCATTCTGAGCTGCACCTCCACCTGAGAATGGGGTATTTTATCCAGGTGCTAAATGCTTATTTAGTGCCATTGTGTTGTTTTTATTAGGGCTGAAGGTCCCATGCGTGGACCCAACCTTTCCAAGGACTTTCAATATTGTAGAAGACAGAAGTATTCTGTTTTCTTTTTGGATTTCTCGCCAGTTTCTGCACAAGGGATCTTAAATCTTTTTGGACATATGGGAGAAAACGGACAGGAAGCCTTTGTATACCATTTCCTTCTGTTAGCTCTGCATCTATGCCCTGCTAGTGTATCTTCTTTCTCCTCATTTTTTTGGGAATCTGCCAACAGTCTCAAATGCCTTATCAAGGAGAGCACCTCTCTTTCTTTTATTAATATGCCTGCCATTAATTCCCATTAATAAGATGCAATGACTGTTTTCCATGTGCTGCCTAATTTACATGTTTTCCACTATTCAAGGAGTAAATGAAGTTTAAAAATCTGAGGAATTAACCATTGATAATGAAACAAATATATTTGGAACTCCAAAATTCCCAAGTATGCCATCTCTTTGGACACAAAATAAAAAGAAATCTGTAGCCCTTACCCACAGGACATCCACACAATCCAGCTGTAGCTACAATAGATCCTGAAGATGCTCCATAGATCCTGTGTGCAGATTTCATTATGTCAGGAGACAAGTCCCGCAAAGCAGATAACACTCCAGTTAGGTATACAAGCATGAAACCACATCCTCTAAACAGTATAGAGTAAGGTCTTCCCTCTTTACCACTTATTTTCAGCATCTCTGCTAACTCCAAGCACCCCAACAACAAGGAAACAGCTGCCCAACAGCTTTAGTGGGTTGTCCAGAGCCAGCCCGTGCTCAGCTGTGGTTCCCTTTGCAACTACACTCTCAATGTCTTATATCCCTCTGAGCCAAAGGTGCAGTGAAACAGCAGCAGTGGGCCGAAATGGATGATGTGATGTCCTAATGCTCATTAAAATAAGATTATTGCAATGCAGGGTGCCTGAGGTGAGCACTGGCAGCCCCAGGCGATGGGGACAGCCACATGTCACACTGATGTGTTGGGGGAGCAGCCCAGGCGTCTGATGCTCCCCAGGACTGAGCCTTTGTGAGGGAAAATCTGCTTCCCAAAGTGGTGAACTGCTTCAGTGATACCCTGGAGTTCCAGCACAAAATTCCAGCCCCTTGGGCAGTAGGAATCTGTAAATATTCCCTGGCACAAAAGAGTCTTACAAGCTGCTGCTCAAAAACTCTTGCCTCATTTGCAACAGGTTGCCAAACCCCATCACAATGAGTGGAGAAGGTGGCTGGATTACTAAAGAAATCTAAACCCAGTTAGTTTTCCTTGTTTCACAATTTTAGCTTGCTTACAGAAGGGTAAAAATACAGAGTCAAAGTAACAACTGATGGTTTCACCTGCCTCCTAGATGACTGAAGTTTCACTAGAGAAAGCGGTTGATAAAGAAGGAAAGACTGGGGAAAAAGTCTGACAAGCACAGGGATATGTTGGTAATCCATGTAGAAATGCAAAGCCTTCTTAGAGTTGCTGCTGGGTGAGCCATTGGGAAGCTGCTGGTGGGAAAAGCAGCGCTGAGAGCTGGGCAAGACAGAGGCAAGTGGCCAGAGCAGCCAATAACAACTTGGACATGCCTCTCCTGATATACACAGAAATCCACCCAAGATCTTCAGGCAAAATGCTCCCAAAGTCACCAGGAGATGCTTCTCTCCCTCTTGCTGTGTGCCAGGGCAGTGCTGGAGTGATTTGGATGCAGCCCTGCTCTCTGTGAGGGGGCTGCAAAACAGCCCTGAGGAGAAGAGAGCAGCTGTGCTGGACCTGCTGGGGCTGGCAGGGCTGTGGGCTCCACTAAGCCCAAAGCACCAGTGCAAGGTTAATCCAGCCCCAATTCCACACGGGAGCAGTGTCTGCCACCAGCCAGGAGCCAAGGCCCTGAGCTCCCTGCACACACCTTGCAGGTCCCACTGCTGAGCAGCAAAGTAAAACTGAAGACTCAAGAGGCATAAATATATTCCATGCCTAATCAGGAGGACAAATGCACTGGAAATAATTTTCCATCTACTCTTGAGTGCAAGGGTCCCCTAAGAATTGACTGCCATGAGAAGAGTCAACTTCAGAAGCAGCTTCTGGTGCAGGAGGGAAGGGGCATTTGGAATGCATGGGTGAGGCACACAAAGCTCTTGAGCTTAAGGCAAACTTTTATGGCCACTTGCATGGCTTGTGGAAAATCCCAGAGCCAGTCTGGGAGCAGCACCAGCATTCCCAGTTCTGCAAGCCTTGTGTTCAAGCCTCCTGCCCTCAGTCAGCAGCACGAGAGGGAACGAGAAATGCGACCCATGATTGCACTGCTTTCCAAATACAGCTGGAGAGCTCTGGCACTCCAGTCCCAAACCAAAGCCACGGATCACGCCACACGGGCCATGTTTTACTCTTAATTGCACCTCTGTAATATTGAGAGAGTTTGTAAATCCCTTTGTTTTACCTTCTTACCCAATCTTGCAGCATCAAGAAGTAAACAGTGTTTATCTTGGAAGAGCAGAAGGAAGACAAGAGTGCGCCTGCTGATTCCGTCCTAGCATTAGTGCCACGTCTCCCTGGCTTTCAAAGCCTTGGACTGTCCCAGGTGTCTTCCAAAGGGAGCAAGGAGTTAGAAAAAATGTAGTTGGGTGCCGTTGTTGTCAGAGTGAGGTACCAGGGCCCCAAAAAGGTGGGGTTTGGAAAGCAGCAATCCAGGTGATCAGAGAAGGAGTGACCCAGGTGGCATAAACAGTGATTGGGAAATGCTGCTGTGGAAATGCAGAAGCTGTTTCTTGGCCTCTCTCTGCCCTGCCCCAGGGTGGGACACAGGCTGTGTGTGTCCCTGAGTGATGCCCTGTGTTTCAAGTGTGTTGTTTTACCAGGCCAAACACCCTCATGGCATTTGGCATTTCCCCATCACTGGGTCAGAAACCACTGTGAGCCCAGGGACCCTGCTCATCTGTCCCTCATGTTTTCATCCTGGCTTTGGGGACAAATGTCTCCAGTCCTGCTTCCCTGCACACCAGCCCGGCCTCAGTGCCTCCTGCTCCCGTAGATAATTGGAAACAGCCTGTGATGCTGCAGAGTCCAAAACAGGGAATCTGACCATTCTCTACAGCTACAGCAGGGAGAGAAGAATGAACTGAGGGGCAGAAAGACACCAATGCAGGAAGGCAAAAGTGCAGTTCTGTGTTGGGTTGAAATCTTCCCATGTAAGAGTCTAATGTTAGCAAAAACCAGTCTGGGTTTCTCTCCTTCATGAAAGGTGGATTTTATTATTTGTGTCTAAACAGTCCATGATTAATCAAGGGGTTTCCATGGCAGCTCCCCAGCTGAGTGCACTGGAACAGGAGCAGAATAAAGGAGTGGCTCTGGCAGGGGTCTGAACTTTCCCATGCTAGGGCCTTGCTCACCTGTGTGTGCTCACCTGGGCCCCTCAGTTGCCTCTTGGCTGCTCCGTGTTTCCTCACATGGCAGTGGCTGCCTCCTCAGCAGGCAGGGCTGACACTGGCCTAGGGAGCACATTCCCATCCCTGCCCTCCCACCAGGACAGAGATTTTAGCAGAGTTGACAACACGAGTGACGTTTTTGCCACTGACGTCGCAGGCAACCTTTCTTCTAGGTGGGAAAGAAAAGAGTGGAAATGGTGCACCCTGGACCTTGCCTCACTAGTTGGTATTTCTGTGCCTTTGGCAGCTCCCAGAACGAGCCCCAGCACACTTACCTTTCCTTCTACCAGGAGTGTGGCAGAGGAACATCCAGCCTATCCTCCGTTCAGCATTAAGCAGAGAAGCCCTTTCCCTGTTCCTGTGACAAACACCTCACCTGGGGACACGAGGTGATGATACCACTGCAAAGGGCAGTTGCGAGAGCTGCGCTGACAGAGGTGAAATGGTGACTTTGTCACGGTGACTTCACCCAGCTCTGGAGCAGCGCCTGGTGCTCCCAGCCAAGGGCAGGGCTCTGCAGGACAGACCTTCCTGCTCAGCTGCACCCTGTGCACAGAGCACCAGGAAATGTTGGAGCAGATCACCTCCAGCTGGAAGGAGTTCTGGCAGGCACAGCTTCATGTCGGGCCAGAAGAGATTCCTTAGCCTTGCCAGAGCCTTAGGATCACCCTATTATATCACTAAGACATTCACTAAGAGAATGGTTTGGCCTGGAAGAAACTTTAAACCATATCCAATTCCACCTCTGCCATGGCAGGGACACCTTCACTAACCCAGATTGCTCCAAGCCCTGTGCAGCCTGGCCTTGAAATAATGACATACGAGAGCCAAGGGAGAGTCCTGCACAATGTAGGCACAGCTAGACTGCTGGCTTAAAGGTAAAAGGAAAAGCTCAGCCTAGATGGGTTTCCACCAAAATGGCAGCCCGGGAGGCTCTGGTGCAGGGGCTGCTGCTCAGCAGCAGGAGGATGATGCTCCTACAGAACCGTGGAATCATTGACTCATGCAATGGTTTGGGTGGGAAGGGACCTTAATGCTCATCTCATTCCAGCCCCTGCCATGGGCAGGGACAACTTCCACTAGACCCGGTTCCTTCAAGCCCTGTCCAGCCTGGCCTTGCTTCAGGTGCTACTCGGTGAATCTCTGTTCCCTGGATTAACCCTTTTTTCCTGGATTTACTTGCCCCCGGTCAGGGCCTGCTTTTCCCGTTGCTCTGAGGGCTCGGCAGCTCCGCCCCTGGCGCTCTGAGGGCCCGGCCGCTCCTGCTGCCTGGGCTCTGAGGGCTCGGCCGTTCCGGCCCCTGGCGCTCTCAGGGCTCGGCCGTTCCCGTTCCCGCTCCAAGGGCTCTGAGGGCTCGGCCATTCCCAGTCCCGTTGCTCCGAGGGATCGGCCGTTCCCCTTTCCATTGCTCTGAGGGCTCGGCCGTTCCGGCCCCTGGCGCTCTCAGGGCTCGGCCGTTCCCGTTCCCGTTGCTCTGAGGGCTCCGCCATTCCTGCCTCTGGCGCTCTGAGGGCTCAGCCGATCCTTCTGCCCTCACTGCTGCCCTTTGCCAACTGGGCGGCTGCAGCAAGCGTCGTCCCTTTGCATGCATCGTGGGAGTCTTTAGAAACGCAGGTAAGGCTTGTTAATTTGTGGTGGTTGCTATGAATAAATATTTTTTTTTGTCTGGATGTTACATTCTCTCTGCACGGCCCAGACCATGTCTGACACAGATGATGAAGCTGGGCCTGTTGTAAGGAACACCCACTATGTGCTGGTGCTCCCAAATCAAGGAGGATTTTGAGAATCCCAGACTGGTTTAGGTGGGAAGGGGCCTTAAAGCTCATCTCCTTTCACTTCATTCCAGAGGGTGAGGATATGGAGATGTTTCAGCTGATCACCATCAGTTGGAAGGTGTTTGGGCAGGCCCAACTGAATTTCAGCCTAGAAGAGATTCCTTAGTCTATGTGAACCCTTAGGATCACCCAGTTATACCAGAAAGACACTTGAAAAGTAGATCACAGAATCCCAGAATGGTTTGGGTTGGAAGAGACCTCACCCCCTGTCTCAACCCTGCTATGGCAGGAAGACCTTCACTGTCCCAGGTTGCTGCAAGCAGTGGATAGCCAGCGACCCTTGTCCTGTGCTGGCAGTTCCTGATGAGGGGTCCCTCTCCAGCTTCCCTGTAGCCCCTTCAGCTCCTTGAAAGGGCCGTGAGGTTTCCACACAACCTTCTCTTCTGGCTGAACAGCCCCACCTCGCTCAGCCTGTCTCCATAGGGGAGGTGCTGCAGTCCCCTTATGACGTTCTGGCCTATTCTGATGGATCCCGTTTGCATTGGATCCTGTCTGCTCCTGTCTTGCATCCAATCTGGATGGATTTGCACTTCTCAAGCACTGCAGCCAAAGGCAGGCTGCTCCAGTCCAGCTGGAGTTCCTGCCACAGGGCAAAGTGAAAGGCTCAGAGACACCCAGGCCTCCCCAGGCAGGAACAATCAGTCCATTATTTGCTTTTGCACCTCTGCTCCCTCCCACTTATCCAACAGCTCCTTGTCCAGGCTGCTGCAAGCACCATCCCTACGTCCAGGCAGGATATTACCATTCAGTCAGCCTGAGGCAGCTACCCTATTGAAATGAGCATTAAAATCTGCCAGAGAAACTTCTCATCTAGGAATTGGACTTCCAAATCATTAGATGCATCTGCAAACCTTAGACACAAACAGGAGCACAGTTTGAAATGTTCCGGGGTATCTCCCCTGCCCCATCTGGTGCTTGATCATAAGCAAGTAGCAAAACATTGTGAACTTTATGAAAAATCCATCTACAAGTAATCCCCAAACTAAAATGGTCTCAGCACAGAATCCTCCTGCTCCAAACCTGCAGGAATTAGGAGGAAATAAGTATTTAACAATTCAATATTCCAATCAGCTGGGTTTTGTTTATTAATCCCTCATCTTTTCAAGCAAGCAGAGCTGGTGCTGTCTCCTCTTGGAGACACGAGCTTGGAGCTAATGGCAATGGAGACTTTGAGAGAGGCAATGGATAGAGGCAAAGTTTGGCATTGATTGGAATCATCTTGTGCAGGAGCTTGTTTCACTGCAAGGAAGCAAAGTGGGAAGCCCAGCTGCACCCAGTGGGGATAGAACCAGCCTGGAATGCCTCCTCTAGGGGTGGATGATGGGAATCATCCCGGGCTGTGGCCCTGCCTGTGCTGTGGCATTGCTGGCAGAGCCCATGTGCTCCTCAGGGCAGGTCAGGCTCAGCCTTCAGGCTGGGTTCCAAGTTGCTCATTGGTTTTTAAAGCAGAAGCTGGGGCCAAAGGCAGCAGCAGGCTCAGAAATGCTCTTCTGTGGCCGACCTGGTCCTAAAGGGAATAAAAGCACGTTGGTCAGTCTGACAGACACCTCTGGCAGTTCCTGTGGGACAAAGTGGATGTTGTGGGACAAAGTGCCTGGTGAGAGCTGCTTCCCTTCCTCCAGATGTCTGAAGGGCAGCCGTTTTTGGTATCCTCAAAATATTGCCCTTGTACCCCTGTCCTGTTGCTTGTCTCCTTCTGCTTGGAACTCAGCAGGAATGTGAAGCCTGAGGTGGATGGGATGAGAGTCTGGAGGCCAGGCAAGGCAGCAAGACAAATGCTCTGGAGGTGGAGAGCCTGGACTCACTCCTTGATTGCTCTCTGGCCTAACAAATGAGTCTTGATTCCTCCCACAGGAGGAATTTTTCACCTCAGGCTGGTTAAAAACCTTGCAGCCCAGCTGCAAAGCAGAGGCAGCAATTCCTGACAGCCCAGAGCTGCCCAACTTCCAAAGAAACCTCATTCCCAGCCTGTTGCTTCCAAAAGCTCCACATAGGTCAGACTGATGGTGCCTTTAAAAAAGCAACCAGGGAAGCAACTTCTACAGCCTAACACTGTGTCCTGCATTTCTTAGTGGGTCGAGAGTTGGCTTCTCCATGGAGCCCTTCTGACCCAGCCACCAATGAAGTCCTCAGTGTTCACCCAAATCCAGGGTGAGGGCTCAGTGTGAGGCCTCACTTGTAACCCCTGAGGTGAGAGGGAAGTTTCTCCCATCCCTGTCCATTCTCACCGGCCCCAGAGCCTCTTTGGGCACTGACAGCCCTGGGCAAGTGTCCCTTGAAAATGGATGTGGTAAAGGAAGAGCTGGTTCTTTACCTGCCTGGGGTGGAGAAGGTGGTGTGAGGCTTCCTATTCTTCTTTATCTGCTGCCTGGATGATTCCTGGATTCTCTTTGTTGTCATCCTCATGATCTGTGGCTCTGGAGTGAAAAAGCCTCAGTCGTGGCTTCAGGTGCAGGGTCTCGTCACCTTTCTGATTTGGTTCATTGGCCAAGGAAAGTGTGAAGCCCTCAAAGTAATTCACCTGGAAATCCCCTGGTGGGAAGAGATTCCAGCTCTCAGTGCTTGTTGCTCAACTGCCAGATCTGCAGCAGTGTGAGGCGAGACCTGGGCTGAGTGGAAATCAGGGATACTGATGATCCCGGGGCTCGGGAATCACCAAACATTGCTGCTCTGCGCATCAGGAGCTTATCAAACACCACACAGGGCACGTGAGCCTGCGCTTGTGTCTAGAGGTCCTGGGACCTGTGTTCCCTGGGGAAAGCTCTGTCATGCCCAGTGTGGCAGAGAAAAGGGGAGTGTGGCTCCGGAGGCAGCTTCAGGAGAGGCCAGGAATCAAGGAATCCTGGCCGTGCCAGGAATACAGGCATTTCTCTGCCCCAGTCACTCTGGGGCAGCATCTCTTACCTTGTGTCAGCAAACCAAGGATGTAGGGGAAGCACCCAACCTACCTGTCCACACTTCCAGTCACTTACTCAGTCTTTTTAGGAAGGAGACTGTGTCCTGGTAGCCCTGGGCATTAAAGCGGTCCATGACCTGTGAGGGGAGGCAGCAGTCAGTGCAGCTGGGCTGCTGCAGGGGGCTCAGGGCTCTGGCTGCCTGGAGGAGCTGCTCACCTGATGTGTGGGAACCTGTAAAACGTGCTGTAAGCGGCAGATGTTCATTTTTGAGATCTGTAAGATACAGTCAGAGATCTGGAAGGTCAAGAAGGCAGCGGGGCCATCCTTGGGGCAGATGTCATATTCGCCAGCGAAGGCAGAGATGGTGATGGTGGTGCGGGACACGAAGTCGGCTCTCCACATGGCCAGCTCCCCGTCCACGTAGCGCTGGGAGACAGAACAGGGAGCCCTGAGCCTTCCCCTCGCAGGGAGAGCAGTGCTGTTCACATGGGCAAACGTGGGCCTTGTTCCCTGGCCAGGCCCACAGCAGACCAAGGTTCTGGGGCTCCACAGATCCCCTTCCAGGGAACTGCCCACCTGCTGCTGCTGTGCTCCAGGTCCACACCTGCCCTACTCCCTTCCCTCCAGAAATCTGCAATGAACCTGGGAGGAAAGTACAGCAGAACAGAGGTGGGGCAACCCCAGGGGCAGGAGTAGATGGACAATCCTGTGGGAAGCTCAGCCCTGTCTGCAGTGAGGTCAGATTTTGGGGCCCTGTTCTTCCCTCTGCAGACACTGGGGGAACCCAGCCTTGAGCTACGTTGGTGGCAAACACAGATAGAAAGATCCTTAATGCCACCACTGGAGAAAGGACAGAGACTGCAGGGACCCTGGGCCTGAGCTGGGACAGGGTCTCCAGACCACAAAGCTACTCACCACCCCACGGAACGTTGGAGGGAAAATCCCAAAATACAGTGGAACGGAGCAACTGCATATGACAGCCTGTGGGTGAGATAGGAAGGACAGAAATGAGTGAAGATCCCCAAAAACTGTTACCTTTGGGAGGGGTGGCTCATCTGTGAGTGCCAGAACAGGGTCCTTTAGCTGGGTTATTGGGAAGCACAGACTAATGGGCACCAGACCATGTCAGATACCCACAACCAGGGCAGAGAAGACGGAAGGGAATCTGTGAAATGCCTCACGTTTCTTTCTTCATGTTCAGCATAATTCAGACAGTAATCAACAGGGCTGATTTTTGAAAATTATTTCTGCTTGTCAGGATGCAGAGGGTGGCAAGGACAGAAATCATGGCATGGACTAGAATGGACCAGGGCCTGTTAGGATGAGACAATGGCTGATGGTTTGTAACTACAAGGGGGGAGATTTAGATATGGGGAAGATAGTTTTTACTTTGAGGGTGTTGAGGCCCTGCACAGGTTGCCCAGAGAAGCTGGGCATCTTGGAACCATCCAAGGCCAGGTAGGATGGGGCTTGAGACCAGCCTGGGACAGTGGAAGGTGTCCCTGCCCATGACAGGGTGGATCTTGATGAGCTTTAAGGTCCCATCCAACCCAAACCATTCTGTGCTTTTGTGCTGTGGGACATGGCCAGGCAGCAAATGTCTCCCAGCTCCTCCCTCATGGGTGGCTGTGGCTGCTCCCACCTGAATCAGCTCCTCCTTCGAGGCAAACTCGGACACTGTCACGCATCTCCAGTCGTGCAGGCGGGTGAGGATAATGTGCAGCTTTCCAGACACCAGCTCGTGGGCATTTGGAGGCAGGAATTTTTCTAGGGACTCCCTTAAGAGTCTAAGTGCCCATACTCCAGGGACCAGCCCCCAGAGAATGACTTTCAATTGACTGAGGACATAGTCCTTAATCTCATCTGAAGCAAAGCAAAGCAAACAATCATTCTACATCCCTTATAATGTTATTTATGTGCATTCTGAGCTGCACTTCCATCTGAGAATGGGGTAATTTATCCAGCTGCTAAATGATCCTTTAGAGTCATTTTGCTTTTTCATTAGGGCTGAAGGTCCCATGTGTGGACCCAACCTTTCCAAGGACTTTCAATATTATAAGAGGCAGAAGTATTTCTGTTTTTTTTCCAATTTCTCCCCGTTTTCTGCACATGACATTTTAAAAGTTTTTGGACATTTGGGAGAAAATGGACAGGAAGCCTTTGTATAACATTTCCTCGTGTTAGCTCTGCATCTATGCCCTGCTAGTGTATCTTCTTTCTCCTCATTTTTTGGGAATCTGCCAACAGTCTCAAATGCCTTATCAAGGAGAGCACCTCTCTTTCTTTTATTAATATGCCTGCCATTAATTCCCATTAATAAGATGCAATGACTGTTTTCCATGTGCTGCCTAATTTACATGTTTTCCACTATTCAAGGAGTAAATAATGTTTAAACATCTGAGGAATTAACCACTGATAATGAAACAAATATATTAGGAACTCCAAAATTCCCAAGTATGCCATCTCTTTGGACACAAAATAAAAAGAAATCTGTAGCCCTTACCCGCAGGACATCCACACAATCCAGCTGTAGCTACAATAGATCCTGAAGATGCTCCATAGATCCTGTGTGCAGATTTCATTATGTCAGGAGACAAGTCCCGCAAAGCAGATAACACTCCAGTTTGGTATACAATCATGAAACCACATCCTCTAAACAGTATAGAGTAAGGTCTTCCCTCTTTACCACTTATTTTCAGCATCTCTGCTAACTCCAAGCACCCCAACAACAAGGAAACAGCTGCCCAACAGCTTTAGTGGGTTGTCCAGAGCCAGCCCGTGCTCAGCTGTGGTTCCCTTTGCAACTACACTCTCAATGTCTTATATCCCTCTGAGCCAAAGGTGCAGTGAAACAGCAGCAGTGGGCCGAAATGGATGATGTGATGTCCTAATGCTCATTAAAATAAGATTACTGCAATGCAGGGTGCCTGAGGTGAGCACTGGCAGCCCCAGGCGATGGGGACAGCCACATGTCACACTGATGTGTTGGGGGAGCAGCCCAGGGGTCTGATGCTCCCCAGGACTGAGCCTTTGTGAGGGAAAATCTGCTTCCCAAAGTGGTGAACTGCTTCAGTGATACCCTGGAGTTCCAGCACAAAATTCCAGCCCCTTGGGCAGTAGGAATCTGCAAATATTCCCTGGCACAAAAGAGTCTTAGAAGCTGCTGCTCAAAAACTCTTGCCTCATTTGCAACAGGTTGCCAAACCCCATCACAATGAGTCGAGAAGGTGGCTGGATTACTAAAGAAATCTAAACCCAGTTAGTTTTCCTTGTTTCACAATTTTAGCTTGCTTACAGAAGGGTAAAAATACAGAGTCCAAGTAACAAGTGATGGTTTCACCTGCCTCCTAGATGACTGAAGTTTCAGTAGAGAAAGCGGTTGATAATGAAGGAAAGACTGGGGAAAAAGTCTGACAAGCACAGGGATATGTTGGTAATCCATGTAGAAATGCAAAGCCTTCTTAGAGTTGCTGCTGGGTGAGCCATTGGGAAGCTGCTGGTGGGAAAAGCAGCGCTGAGCGCTGGGCAAGACAGAGGCAAGTGGCCAGAGCAGCCAATAACAACTTGGACATGCCTCTCCTGATATACACAGAAATCCACCCAAGATCTTCAGGCAAAATGCTCCCAAAGTCACCAGGAGATGCTTCTCTCCCTCTTGCTGTGTGCCAGGGCAGCCCTGCTCTCTGTGAGGGGGCTGCAAAACAGCCCTGAGGAGAAGAGAGCAGCTGTGCTGGACCTGCTGGGGCTGGCAGGGCTGTGGGCTCCACTAAGCCCAAAGCACCAGTGCAAGGTTAATCCAGCCCCAGTTCCACACGGGAGCAGTGTCTGCCACCAGCCAGGAGCCAAGGCCCTGAGCTCCCTGCACACACCTTGCAGGTCCCGCTGCTGAGCAGCAAAGTAAAACTGAAGACTCAAGAGGCATAAATATATTCCATGCCTAATCAGGAGGACAAATGCACTGGAAATAATTGTCCATCTACTCTTGAGTGCAAGGGTCCCCTAAGAATTGACTGCCATGAGAAGAGTCAACTTCAGAAGCAGCTTCTGGTGCAGGAGGGAAGGGGCATTTGGAATGCCTGGGTGAGGCACACAAAGCTCTTGAGCTTAAGGCAAACTTTTATGGCCACTTGCATGGCTTGTGGAAAATCCCAGAGCCAGTCTGGGAGCAGCACCAGCATTCCCAGTTCTGCAAGCCTTGTGTTCAAGCCTCCTGCCCTCAGTCAGCAGCACGAGAGGGAACTAGAAATGCGACCCATGATTGCACTGCTTTCCAAATACAGCTGGAGAGCTCTGGCACTCCAGTCCCAAACCAAAGCCACGGATCACGCCACACGGGCCATGTTTTACTCTTAATTGCACCTCTGTAATATTGAGAGAGTTTGTAAATCCCTTTGTTTTACCTTCTTACCCAATCTTGCAGCATCAAGAAGTAAACAGTGTTTATCTTGGAAGAGCAGAAGGAAGCCAAGAGTGCACCTGCTGATTCCGTCCTAGCATTAGTGCCACGTCTCCCTGGCTTTCAAAGCCTTGGACTGTCCCAGGTGTCTTCCAAAGGGAGCAAGGAGTTAGAAAAAATGTAGTTGGGTGCAGTTGTTTTCAGAGTGAGGTACCAGGGCCCCAAAAAGGTGGGGTTTGGAAAGCAGCAATCCAGGTGATCAGAGAAGGAGTGACCCAGGTGGCATAAACAGTGATTGGGAAATGCTGCTGTGGAAGTGCAGAAGCTGTTTCTTGGCCTCTCCCTGCCCTGCCGCAGGATGGGACACAGGCTGTGTGTGTCCCTGAGTGATGCCCTGTGTTTCAAGTGTGTTGTTTTACCAGGCCAAACACCCTCATGGCATTTGGCATTTCCCCATCACTGGGTCAGAAACCACTGTGAGCCCAGGGACCCTGCTCATCTGTCCCTCATTTCTTCACCCCACCATTGGGGACAAATACAAGCTTGGCCTTGGGCAAAGAGACTATCCACCGTGGGTCACTTTGAAGATCTATTAAGTAAATGAAATAAAGAAATCTGTGTGCCTGATAATACAGTGCAATAGCCTAAATCGGATCTTTCTCCTGCGGGATTCAAATGAAGCAGAAGCCACCTCAGCTGCTGAGCCAGGGCACAGCAGGGAGAGGCTGGCACCTGCCTGGAAATTCTCTTGCCTCCCCAGGGCAGAATATTTAAGAGTGAGATGACACCAAACCATTTCCCACAGGGGTCTGCTGCAATGACAAAGCTCTGACCTCGGGGCTGCCCCCTCTTGGAATACAGTGTGTTGCTAACACACTTACGTTTCTGATATGCAAATCCTTAAGAGGAAGACTTTCAGGAATTTGT